GTTCGAAAGGAATCTAATGCATATGTATATGGAAAATGGTGCATTGGCCAGGTCGGTCAGTATGGGAACTTAGAGTGCAAATGCCAGGGAGAACGGAAGCGCTCAGATCTCGCATAGTACACGGAATCTAGTGTTCTCACTCAAATAGAAGGTAGGAAATAAATTCAACTAGTGAACGTAAGGGTTTGAAAGGTAACTAACGCACATGTTGTTAAGATGTGAACGAGAGAATGAGTGAACTATGAACGAAGTGAGTACAAATAGGAAACCCTAGCTGGGTTGTACCCCCTATGGGATACCCCACTATAGCCTACATAAATAAGTAAGCTATAATGTTCTGACACACCCCCATAGGCAAAGTGGGGGAGAACAAGGGGTCACAAGACCAGTCAAGCAAAGCAAAGCAAAGCTCAGGGTGGATCACAAAGTCACCACACATTCCGAGCACAAGTTCAAGGGCCACAAGGCCAGTTCACATGCAAGATCATATATATAGAGATATAAAAGAGTCAAGCAAGCAAGAGCAAGACTATATATATGTGACGGTACAAGGAAGGTCAAGAAGTGAGCAAGTGAGGCAAGACAGACACAAGACCCAGTTGCGTGCAGCAACGCTGATGATCACAAGGCGCAAGTGCCTTGGTGAACACATCAGCAGTGTTGGCCTCAGAGGCCACGTACGCAAGTCGCAACTGTCCACGCTGCTGTAGCTCACGAGCAAGAAAGTAGCGGAGAGCAATGTGCTTTGTCCTGTGCTCCAGTCTCTGCTCTCGACACAAGGCCAGCATGGCCTTGTGGTCTACGTACAGGACTGGAGGAGAACGAGGCTGCTCTCCAAGGTCGGTCAGCAGGTAGGTGAGCCAGCGTAACTCCTGTGCAGCCATAGCCCCAGCGTAGATCTCAGCCTCACAACTGGAGCCGAGAACAGAAGACGAGCGGGTAGCCCGCCACGAAACAGAGCCCGAACCAAGGCTGAAGGTGTAACCCTGTGACGACCGCTGCGTAGCCTGGTCGTTAGCCCAAGAAGCGTCTGCGTGCCCAGTGAGGACCACTGGACTCCGCCCTCCAAGCACTAGCCCCATGCCTGACGTACTGCACAAGTAGCGCAACACCCTCTTCGCTGCAGCCATGTGCTCTGGTCGGTGTCTCCCAGGAGCAACATAGCGTGCGAGAATGCTAAGAGGGTATGCAAGGTCAGGTCGAGTGCAGGTCATCAGGTACATGAGGCAGCCAACAAGCTCTGCATACGGGCCACTCGACTCTACGGACTCATCCGAAGGCAGAGCAGAGAGCGAGTGGCGAGTAGGCAGAGGAGTGGCCTGAGGCGAGGAGTACGTAAAGCCGAAGCGCTGAAGGACCTGCTGCACCATGTGTGACTGAGTCAGGGTAATGGTGCGGCGTGCTCTGTCCCGGGTGATCTGCAAGCCAAGGTAGCTGCGCAGTTCACCCAGGTCAGTGCACGTGTGTCTCTTCTGCAGCTCGGACTTCACGTAGGCGAGTCCAGTAGTGTCAGCTGTGGCAAAGACCAAGTCGTCGACGTACACGAGGATGTAGAACGGCGGCAGAGAGGTGTCAGTGCGCAGAAACAGCGACGGGTCGGCAGTAGACGGAGCAAACCCAAGTGCCGCGAGCGTAGTCCTCAGTGTGTCGTGCCACTCACGTGGCGCCTGGCGGAGACCGTAGACTGGACGCCGGAGACTCCACTGGGTACCAGGAGGGAAAGACCCAGTGAAGCCAGGTGGGCGGCGCAGCCAGATCTCCTCGTGCAGACTGCCCTGCAAGAAAGCTGTGCTGAAGTCGAGAGAGTGCAGCTCGTAGTCACGGTGAGCAGCAACGTGCAGGAGAACCCGAAGAGTGGTCATCTTCGGGGTGGGGGAGAAGGTCTGAAAGTAGTCAACCCCCTGCCGCTGACTGAAGCCACGAGCCACGTAACGCGCCTTGAAGACAGGCGGAGAACCCGGCGGCCGCTTCACCCTGAAAATCCACATGCCACTGACGATGTTCGCCCCATGAGGGGGGACAGCGTCAACGTAGGTGCCTGTGGACTTCCAGGAAGCCATCTCTGCGTCCATAGCTGCCTGCCACTGAGAGGAGTAGGGACCCTCTATCGCCTCCGCGTAAGAGCGCGGAGTCGGGATGTCTGGTGCATCCGGGTCTCCCTCAGGGGCTAGCAGTACAGACGCGAGATGGGGTGAAGCGGCGGCCAGACACTGGAACTCCTCCTGCCTGTCCTCAAGGACGTCCGTGCCGAGGGCACACTCACCCCCGACGGACGGAGGACAGGCAGACTCAGACTCAGCGACAAGACTGGCAGCGTAGTCTAGACGACAGCGCGCAGCAAAGTCGACAAGCCCAGTGACAAGGGCAGACGCAGCAGACGACTCGAAGGAAGGGTCAGTGACAGCAGTAGCAAGGAGACGCGTGACAGTAGGACTGGCAGCACGAAGAGAGTCCGACTCCGGGTCGGCAAGAGCAGGAAGAGAGGAAGCAGGAGGAGAAGGCAAAGGGGCACGCAGAGGAGCAGTGGACGGACGCAGAGACATCCGGTGCGTGCCAGGGACAGGAGGAGGACGCTGACGCGAACCGCGACCACTAGCGCGCTCTGGACGGAACAGGCGACGCAGGACGAGACGCAGGCTCACGACGCTCAGTAAGACCTCCAGTCGGACCAGCGTAGGGAGAAGGAGCAGGCAAAGGGGAGGCAGGCTGTAGCTGTGGTTGTGACCGGACAGGCTGCGGACCCTCTAAGGGAGGAGGAGAAAGTGGAAGACCAAGAACCTGCTGCAGGAGCGGAACGAAGTACGGTCGGGGCCGCGCGGCGACTCCAGAAACAGCAGGAACAGCACCAGCACCTCTCGGCAGGAGCACCCACTCCAGTAGCACCTCCAGCAGCACCACCAGAAGCTCCAGAACCTCCAGCAGCAGCACCAGGAGCACTGTCAGTCGGACCGCCAGCAGCAGGCTCAGCGCCAACACCCTCAGCAGCACCAGCTCCAGGAGAACTCGCAGACCCAACAGCTCCAGCACCCACAGGACGAGCACCGCCGGGACGCGCGGCAGCAGTGCCCTCAGCAGCCGAAGAACCACCAGCACTAGCAGCACGCCTCCAGCGCCTGGCAAACCACTCACGCAGCTCCTGTGGGGAGAGTGGCTCCCGGCGAGACGAAGCACCCCCAGGCTCAGCACTCCCAGGCACAGCAGTCCCAGGCACAGCACCCCCAGGCACAGCACCTCCAGGCTCAGCACCCCCACGGCTCAGCACCCCCAGGCTCAGCACCCCCAGACTCAGCACCCCCAGACTCCGCACCCCCAGACTCCGCACCCCCAGGCTCAGCACCCCCAGACTCCGCACCCCCAGGCTCAGCTCCCGCAGCAGCACCAGAGTCACCAGTGACCTCGACAGGCTCGACCGCGTCTACCTGGGACACACCTGACGGGGCAGGACCCTGAGGGGGGAGGGGGTCTACCGGGGGGGGACCTGGTACCAGGAAAAGCGGGGGCGGGGGGAGGGACGGAGTGCGGTAGGGGAAGAGGCGGTAGTAGGGTACCGACTCGTCGAACGTGACGTCCTGGGAGGACAGAACACGTCGAGAGGTGGGGTGGTAGAACTGCCACCCAGGGGCGTCGGGGGGGAACCCCAGGAAGACGCAGGGAGCAGCGCGAGGGGACAGCTTGTCCGCAGACAAGTCGCGGACAAACGCCCGAGATCCCCAGACCCGGAACGCCGACGCATCGCCAACCTTCCCCGTCCACAGCAGGGCTGGGGAGGTCTCCGGCCTGGAGACCCTGGGGTGGAGGTTGATCTGATGCGCTGCGTACCTGACCGCAAACGGCCACAGAAAATGGGGGGCAGCCGCATGCATCATGGACGTACGGGCGACGTCCATGACCATGCCAATGCGGCGCTCAGCAATCCCATTTTGCTGTGGGGAGTCCGGAAGCGTGAAGGACTGGCGGATGCCTCGCGCTCGACAGTAGGCACGAAGAAGGCCAGAGGAGAACTCTCCGCCTCTGTCAGAGTGCAGACGCAACACAGGAAAGTCCGAGCCAAAGCTCTGCCTGAGCTGAAGACGAGCTGCGCGGATCCAGTCGATCAGCACCTCAGTAACCTCACCCTTGCTGCGCAAGGGGAAGACTGTGGTGTAACGCGAGTAGTCGTCAACAACTAGCAGGAAGTAGCGCTCGTGACCCTGTCCAAGGACGCGGGCCGGGCCCCCACACGTCCATGTGAAGTGTCTGCAGCGGGGCCTCTGTCGGAGGAAACTGGGAGGAGTGAGGGGCAGCACGCTGGCGCCCCTCGACATAGGGGACACAGGCAGGGCCAGGGCCCTGAGGAAGGGGAGGTAGGGACCGGGGGAGACCAGACACAAGAAGACGGGAGGCCATGCCTCTGAGCCGAAGCAGAGAGGGGTGGCCAAGGCGGTGGTGCCAGAGGAGGGTCTCGTGAGACAGACGACGACACGAACAGGGGGGAAGACTCAGGACCAGACCTGGACGCTGCTGCAAACACCTGACCAGACGAAGGGACCGTACCAGACTCAGTACCTGGAGGAGAAGCAGTGGTCAGTGTGTACAGGCTCGACCCTGGCCGACGTGTAAACGTAGCCAGGTGACGTCCCGTGCTAGCCTCCGTGCAGTGGGTCACCCGCTGACGAGCAGGAGTGAACTGGTGGACACCCGCATCCTGTAGGTCAGCACCACTCACCAGGTTCGTCGAGAACGAGGGGAGGTAGAGACCAGACAGGGTGCCAGAGGGGGCCGCCGGACACGGAAGTACCGTGGAGAAGCGAGACAGGACAGGCCCCCCAGAGGGGTCAGCCAGGGACACCGCAACCGGCCGACTCAGCGGCGTGAGAGTAGTGCGGTCCCGAAAGAAGGAGCGAGACGCTCCAGAGTCAAGTGTGAAGGTGTGAGAGGCCGAAGCCGACACAGTAACTGAGAGGGCAGACTCACCAGTACCTGAGAGCTCAGACGCACTGGCACCTAGAGCAGCAGCCTCACTAGTACCTGACGCAGCAGTACCAATGCCCGGGTCGGGCGGGAAACACCGGTAACAGTCATCCTCATCACTACCAGTCACAACATACATAGCAGAAAGAATAGCATCAAAGTCAAGATCATAAATGGCTACACCAGCCCTAGACAGCTCCCCCCAGCGGGGGATCTCAGCGGCCTCCGGAAACTGCTGACGCCAAGCGTCGGTCAGGCGGCCAAAGCAGCGGCGGGCCGTGTGGGTGCCTCCACACCTCTCCCCCGCACGGTCGCCGGTGCGAAGAACGTAGGGGCAGGGACCAAACGCACCACCACGCTGACGCTGCAAGTACCACTCACGGAGCTGCTGAGGGGCGGGGACGGTGCGAGAGCGTTGCTGCGGCTGCTGCTGCTGCTGCTGTTGCTGCTGGCGCTGACCACCCCCAGAGCTGCTGCGCTGGGACGAGACACTCCGACCCCCGCCGCCACCGCCACTCCCGCCTCCACCACCGCCTACGTCTCCACCGCCACCGCCCCCACTGGTACCCTCGCCCCCGCCTCCTCCGCTACCGCCCCCGCCGCCACCTCCGCCTCCACCGCCTCCACCAGTACCTCCACTCCCGCCACCACCTCCACCGCCACCCCCACTCCCCCCGCCACCCCCACCTCCTCCGCCACTGCCCCCTCTAGCTCCACCCGCTCCCTTGCCCCCCTTGCCCTTGCCAGAGCGGCGTCTACCGCTGGGGGCAGACGCCGCACCGACCGACTCAAAACCAGTGAGGTCGGCCGCAGCGGCAGAGGCGACAGAGGGCAGCAGGGGGGAAGGAGAACACCCCTCAAAGATGGGGGTGCGAGGGTCACCCCGAGAGGCCCCTACAGCGACTATGCTCTTCTCAGCCGCTAGCAGGGACTCCTCAAGGAGGTCGACAGTGAGGGTGGTGGGACAGACAGAGAGAAACTGGTCCCTAACGACACGGAGGGACTCAGGGAGACGGGTGACAAGAAAGTAGAGAGTGATGTACATGGGAGGAGGGTTGGCGGCGCGGAACTCAGCAGGAAGGGCAGCGCGGTAGCGAGCGTCACTAGCGCGGAGGTGGGTAATGAGGTCAGCGACAGTGGGAAAGGCAGCGAGGTCAGGGAAGAGGAAAGGTAGCATGAGGCGGCTCAGCGTAGCGGAGGAAGGGGAGGAGTAGCGTGCAACTACAGCGTCGTACAAGGCCTGAGCGGTCTTGCACTGACTAAAGTGGGCACGCTCGGAGGAAGGGAGGTGGCGACGCACAGCAAGACGTGCAGCAGCATCGCGGGTCGCCCACTTGGAGCGAACGGCGGAATCAGCATCAGGAGGAGGGGCAGGGACAGCGCCAGAGAGAAAGTCAAAGAGAGAGACCTCATCGACCGCATCACACAGTAAGTACAGCTGCAGGTCCTCAATCCAGACTGCAAAGTCAATGGCTCTACCCTCAGCGTCAAAAGCTAGGACATTGGGGGTGGCCATGACAGCAGCTGACAGTCTCACCGGGCAGGAAGAGTCGGGTAGGTCAGCGGCGCAGGTACACAGCCCAGGAGCAGCAGTAGCCCGACAGGAGCAGGAGAGCAGCTCCTCTGGCGGCTCGGGCAGCTCGGGCGGCTCGGGCGGCTCGGGCGGCACGGGCGGCTCGGGCGACTAGGGCGGCTCGGGCGGCTCGGGTGGCTAGGGCGGCGCGGGCGGCCCGGGCGGCTCGGGCGGCTCAGGCGGCTCGGGCGGCGGCACGGGCGGCTGGGGCGGCTCGGTGGCGGCTCACGGGCGGCTGGGACGGCGCGCGGGGAGCTCACGGGCGGCTGGGCGGGCGGCCAGGGCGGCTCACGGGCGCGGCGGCGGCGGCGTCGGCGGCTCACGGGCGACGGCGGCTCACGGGCGGCGGCGGCGGCGTCGGCGGCTCACGGGCGACGGCAGCGGCAGCGGCATCGGCGGCTCACGGGCGGCGTCGGCGGCGTCGGCGGCTCACGGGTGGCGGCGGCGGCGTCGGCTGCTCACGGGCGGCGTCGGCAGCTCACGGGCGGGCTGAAGGCCCACGGGTGGGCGGTTCGCGGGCAGCGCCGGCTCACGGGCGGGCGGCGTGACGGGCGGGCGGCAGGGACGGGCGGCGGCGTCACGGGGGGGGGGGGGGCGACGGGACGGGCGGCGGCGTCACAGGCGGCGGCGTCACGGGCGGCGGTTCACGGGCGGCTGCGTCACGGGCGGCGCTCACGGGCGGCGCTAAAGGGTGGCGACAGGCGGCGGCTCACGGGCGGCGCTACGGGCGGCGGCTCACGGGGGGCGCTACGGGCGGCCGCACCGGCGGCGCTAACGGGCGGCCGCACGGGCGGCGCTACGGGCTGCGCAAAGGGCGGCGCGAAGGGGCAGCCGCACGGGCGGCGCTAACGGGCGGCGCTAACGGGCGACGCGAACGGGCGGCTCGAAAGGGCGGGCGCTAGGGCGGGCGCTAGGGCGGGCACTAGGGCGGGCGCCAGGGCAGAAAAAAAAGTTCTAGGTGGTGGGCCCGAAGCACAGTTCCCACAGGGGAACCTGCTCTGATTCCATGTGAAGAAGTGAACGAGAGAATGTGTGAACTATGAACGAAGTGAGTACAAATAGGAAACCCTAGCTGGGTTGTACCCCCTATGGGATACCCCACTATAGCCTACACAAATAAGTAAGCTATAATGTTCTGACAGAGGGGTGTTGGAAAGCGGGAGAATGGGGCGGGGTGATGAAAAGCGGGAGATTGGGGCGGGTTGATGGAGAGCGGGAGAATGGGGCGGGGTGATGGAGAGCGGGAGATGGGGCGGGTGATGGAAAGCGGGTGAATGGTGTGGGGTGATGGAAAGCGCGAGAATGGGGCGGGGTGATGGAAAGCAGAAGAATGGGGCGGGGTGATGGAAAGTGGGAGAATGGGGAGGGGTGATGGAAAGCGGGGGAATGGGGCGGGATGATGGGAAGCGGAAGAATGGGGCGGGGTGATGGAAAGCGGGAGAATGGGGCAGGGTGATGGAAAGCGGGAGAATGGGGCGGGGAGATGGAAAGCGGGAGAATGGGGCGGGGTGATGGAAGGAGGGAGAATGGGGCGGGGTGATGGAAGGAGGGAGAATGGGGCGGGGTGATGGAAAGTGGGAGAATGTGGCGGGGTGATGGAAAGCGGGAGATGGGGCTGGGGTTATGGGAAGCGCAGAATTGGGCGGGGTGATGGAAGGAGGGAGAATGGGGCAGGGTGATGGAAAGAGGGAGAATGGGGCGGGGTGATGGAAAGCAGGAGAATGGGGCGGGCTGATGGAAAGTGGGAGAATTGGGCGGGGTGATGGAAAGCGTGAGAACGGGGCGGGGTGATGGAAAGCGGGAGAATGGGGCGGGGTGATGGAAAGCAGGGGAATGGGGCGGGGTGATGGAAAGCGGGAGAATTGGGCGGGGTGATGGAAAGCGGGAGAATGGGGCGGGGTGATGGAAAGCGGGAGAATAGGGCAGGGTGATGGAAAGCGGGAAAACGGGGCGGGGTGATGGAAAGCGGGAGAATGGGGCGAGGTGATGGAAAGCGGGAGAATGGGGGGGGGGTGATGGAAGGAGGGAGAATGGGGCGGGGTGATGGAAAGCGGGAGAATAGGGCGGGTGATGGAAAGCGGGAGAATAGGGCGGGGTGATGGAAAGCGGGAGAATGGAGCGGGGTGATGGAAAGAGGGAGAATGGGACGGGGTGATGGAAAGCGGGAGAATGGGGCGGGGTGATGAAAAGCGGGAGAATGGGGCGGGGAGATGGAAAGCGGGAGAATGGGGCGGGGTGATGGAAGGAGGGAGAATGGGGCGGGGTGATGGAAGGAGGGAGAATGGGGCAGGGTGATGGAAAGTGGGAGAATGTGGCGGGGTGATGGAAAGGGGGAGATGGGGCTGGGGTTATGGGAAGCGGAGAATTGGGCGGGGTGATGGAAGGAGGGAGAATGGGGCGGGGTGATGGAAAGAGGGAGAATGGGGCGGGGTGATGGAAAGCAGGAGAATGGGGCGGGGTGATGGAAAGCGGGAGAATTGGGCGGGGTGTGCGAAAGCGTGAGAACGGGGCGGGGTGATGGAAAGCGGGAGAATGGGGCGGGGTGATGGAAAGCAGGGGAATGGGGCGGGGTGATGGAAAGCGGGAGAATTGGGCGGGGTGATAGAAAGAGGGAGAATGGGGCGGGTGATGGAAAGCGGGAGAATGGGGCAGGGTGATGGGAGGATGGAGAATTGGGCAGGGTGATGGAAGGAGGGAGAATGGGGCGGGGTGATGGAAAGCGGGAGAATGGGGCGGGGTGATGGAAGGAGGGAGAATGGGGCGGGGGTGATGGAAAGCGGGAGAATGGGGCGGGGTGATGGAAAGCGGGAGAATGGGGCGGGGTGATGGAAAGAGGCGAAAGAATGGGGCAGGGTGAAGGAAAGCGGGAGAATGGGGCGGGTGATCGAAAGAGGGAGAATGGGGCGGGGTGATGGAAAGCGGGAGAATGGGTCGGGTTGATGGAAAGCGGGAGAATGGGGCGGGGTGATGGAAAGTTGGAGAATGGGGCGGGGTGATGGAAAGCGGGAGAATGGGGCGGGGTGATGGAAAGCGGGAGAATGGGGCGGAGTGATGGAAAGCGGGAGAATGGGGCGGGGTGATGGAAAGAGGCGAGAGAATGGGGCGGGGTGATGGAAAGTGGGAGAACGGGGCGGGGTGATGGGAAGCGGGAGAATGGGGGCGGGGTGATGGAAAGCGGGAGAATGGGGCGCGGTGATGGAAAGCGGGAGAATGGGGCGGGGTGATGGAAAGAGGCGAGAGAATGGGACGGGGTGATGGAAAGCAGGAGAATGGGGTGGGGAGATGGAAAGCGGGAGAATGGGGCGGGGTGATGGAAAGAGGGAGAATGGGGCGGGGTGATGGAAAGCGGGAGAATGGGGCGGGGTGATGGGAAGCAGGAGAATGGGGCGGGGTGATGGAAAGAGGGAGAATGGGGAGGGGTGATGGAAGCGGGAGAATGGGGCGGGGTGATGGAAAGCGGGAGAATTGGGCGAAGTGATGCAAAGTGGGAGAATGGGGCGGGGAGATGGAAAGCGGGAGAATGGGGCGGGGTGATGGAAGGAGGGAGAATGGGGCGGGGTGATGGAAGGAGGGAGAATGGGGCAGGGTGATGGAAAGTGGGAGAATGTGGCGGGGTGATGGAAAGGGGGAGATGGGGCTGGGGTTATGGGAAGCGGAGAATTGGGCGGGGTGATGGAAGGAGGGAGAATGGGGCGGGGTGATGGAAAGAGGGAGAATGGGGCGGGGTGATGGAAAGCAGGAGAATGGGGCGGGGTGATGGAAAGCGGGAGAATTGGGCGGGGTGTGCGAAAGCGTGAGAACGGGGCGGGGTGATGGAAAGCGGGAGAATGGGGCGGGGTGATGGAAAGCAGGGGAATGGGGCGGGGTGATGGAAAGCGGGAGAATTGGGCGGGGTGATAGAAAGAGGGAGAATGGGGCGGGTGATGGAAAGCGGGAGAATGGGGCAGGGTGATGGGAGGATGGAGAATTGGGCAGGGTGATGGAAGGAGGGAGAATGGGGCGGGGTGATGGAAAGCGGGAGAATGGGGCGGGGTGATGGAAGGAGGGAGAATGGGGCGGGGTGATGGAAAGCGGGAGAATGGGGCGGGGTGATGGAAAGCGGGAGAATGGGGCGGGGTGATGGAAAGAGGCGAAAGAATGGGGCGGGGTGAAGGAAAGCGGGAGAATGGGGCGGGTGATCGAAAGAGGGAGAATGGGGCGGGGTGATGGAAAGCGGGAGAATGGGTCGGGTTGATGGAAAGCGGGAGAATGGGGCGGGGTGATGGAAAGTTGGAGAATGGGGCGGGGTGATGGAAAGCGGGAGAATGGGGCGGGGTGATGGAAAGCGGGAGAATGGGGCGGAGTGATGGAAAGCGGGAGAATGGGGCGGGGTGATGGAAAGAGGCGAGAGAATGGGGCGGGGTGATGGAAAGTGGGAGAACGGGGCGGGGTGATGGGAAGCGGGAGAATGGGGGCGGGGTGATGGAAAGCGGGAGAATGGGGCGCGGTGATGGAAAGCGGGAGAATGGGGCGGGGTGATGGAAAGAGGCGGGAGAATGGGACGGGGTGATGGAAAGCAGGAGAATGGGGTGGGGAGATGGAAAGCGGGAGAATGGGGCGGGGTGATGGAAAGAGGGAGAATGGGGCGGGGTGATTGAAAGCGGGAGAATGGGGCGGGGTGATGGGAAGCAGGAGAATGGGGCGGGGTGATGGAAAGAGGGAGAATGGGGAGGGGTGATGGAAAGCGGGAGAATGGGGCGGGGTGATGGAAAGCGGGAGAATTGGGCGAAGTGATGCAAAGTGGGAGAATGGGGCGGGGTGATGGAAAGCGGGAGAATGGGGCGGGGTGATGGAAAGCGGGAGAATGGGGCGGGGTGATGGAAAGCGGGAGAATAGGGCGGGGTGATGGAAAGAGGGAGAATAGGGAGGGGTGATGGAAAGAGGGAGAATAGGGCGGGGTGATGGAAAGCGGGAGAATGGAGCGGGGTGATGGAAAGAGGGAGAATGGGACGGGGTGATGGAAAGCGGGAGAATGGGGCGGGGTGATGAAAAGCGGGAGAATGGGGCGGGGTGATGGAAAGCGAGAGAATGGGGCGGGGTGATGGAATGAGGGAGAATGGGGCGGGGTGATGGAAAGCAGGAGAATGGGGCGGGGTGATGGAAAGCGGGAAAAGGTGGCGGGGTGATGGAAAGCGGGAGAACGGGGCGGGGTGATGGAAAGCGAGAGAATGGGGCGGGATGATTGAAAGAGGGAGAATGGGGCGGGGTGATGGAAAGTGGGAGAATGGGGCGGGGTGATGGAAAGAGGGAGAATGGGGCGGGGTGATAGAAATCGGGAGAATGGGGCGGGATGATGGAAAGAGGGGAGGATGGGGTGGGGAGATGGAACGCAAAAGAATGGGGCAAGGTGATGGAAAGCGGGAGAATGGGACGGGGTGATGGAAAGCGGCAGAATTGGGTGGGGTGATGGATAGAGGGAGAATGGGGAAGGGTGATGGAAAGAGGGAGAATGGGGCGGGGTGATGGAAAGCTGGAGAATGGGGCGGGGTGATGGAAAGCGGGAGAATGGGGCGGGGTGATGGAAAGCGGGAGAATGGGGCGGGGTGATGGAAAGAGGCAAAAGAATGGGGCGGGGTGAAGGAAAGCGGGAGAATGGGGCGGGTGATCGAAAGAGGGAGAATGGGGCGGGGTGATGGAAAGCGGGAGAATGGGTCGGGTTGATGGAAAGCGGGAGAATGGGGCGGGGTGATGGAAAGTTGGAGAATGGGGCGGGGTGATGGAAAGCGGGAGAATGGGGCGGGGTGATGGAAAGCGGGAGAATGGGGCGGAGTGATGGAAAGCGGGAGAATGGGGCGGGGTGATGGAAAGAGGTGAGAGAATGGGGTGGGGTGATGGAAATCGGGAGAATGGGGCGGGGTCATGGAAAGAGGGAAAATGGGGTGGGGTGATAGAAAGAGGTAGAATGGGGCAGAGTGATGGAAAGCGAGAGAATGGGGCAGGGTGATGGAAACCGGGAGAATGGGGCGGGGTGATGGAAACCGGGAGAATGGGGCGGGTGATGGAAAGCGGGAGAATGGGGCGGGGTGATGGAAAGCGGGAGAATGGGGCGGGGTGATGGAAAGCGGGAGAATGGGGCAGGGTGATGGAAAGAGGGAGAATGGGGCGGGGTGATGGAAAGAGGGAGAATGGGGCGGGGTGATGGAAAGCAGGAGAATGGGGCGCGGTGATGGAAAGCGGGAGAATGGGGCGGGGTGATGGAAAGTGGGAGAACGGGGCAGGGTGATGGGAAGCGGGAGAATGGGGGCGGGGTGATGGAAAGCGGGAGAATGGGGCGCGGTGATGGAAAGCGGGAGAATGGGGCGGGGTGATGGAAAGAGGCGGGAGAATGGGACGGGGTGATGGAAAGCAGGAGAATGGGGTGGGGAGATGGAAAGCGGGAGAATGGGGCGGGGTGATGGAAAGAGGGAGAATGGGGCGGGGTGATGGAAAGCGGGAGAATTGGGCGGGGTGATGGAAAGCAGGAGAATGGGGCGGGGTGATGGAAAGAGGGAGAATGGGGAGGGGTGATGGAAAGCGGAAGAATGGGGTGGGGTGATGGAAAGCGGGAGAATGGGGCGGGGTGATGCAAAGCGGGAGAATGGGGCGGGGTGATGGAAAGCGGGAGAATGGGGCGGGATGATGGAAAGCGGAAGAATGGGGCGGGGTGATGGAAAGCGGGAGAATGGGGCGGGGTGATGGAAAGAGGGAGAATGGGGCGGGATGATGGAAAGCGGGAGAATGGGGCGGGGTGATGGAAAGCAGGAGAATGGAAAGGGGTGATGGAAAGCGGGAAAATGGGGCGGGGTGATAGAAAGCGGGAGAATGGGGCGGGGTGATGGAAAGAGGGAGAATGGGGCGGGGTGATGGAAAGCGGGAGAATGGGGCCGGGTGATGGAAAGAGGGAGAATGGGGAGGGGTGATGGAAAGAGGGAGAATTGGGCGGGGTAGTGGAAAGCGGGACAATGGAGCGGGGTGATGGAAAGCGGGAGAATTGTTGGTGCAACCTACGGTTTGCACTCGGCTTGTTGTCCGTGTGCGTGCATGCGTGTGTGCATGGAATGGTATGAGGGCATGGGATAATATATATTTCATGCTTACAATAGTGTGTGTATGATGGGTCATGATATTGAGTGTGTGTCAAGTCAATAGCGAGTTATCGCTAGTCGCGTGTAACGCGGTCATTTTGTGTGTCCCGCGCGGTTTCTATTTTGTCGTGCGCAGTTTCTATTTTGTCGCTTGTCGAACGTTCGGCGTGTCGCAGGTGTGTGCAGCAGACCCATCAAGAACTCAAGGATGAGTTTGTGATGAAGAACCCGAGCCCTGGTGTCAACATTCAAGTGTTCGCGAAGTCCGCGAAAAGGGTACACCTCAAGATATCAAGATTCGTTACATTACAACGTGTAGTGTAACATTTCAGTTGGTGTAGACCCTAGTGAAGGGTAGTTTCGAGATCCTTCGTGGTTGGGGACAGTGTGGCACTGTTCCACATCACTGTACCTCGGCTCTTGGGGTTTGTAGGAGCTGGGAGTCATTCCCAACTCGTAACTCTTGCTAACTCTTCCTAAGTTGCGTTCTAAGACTATGTTGCTGCCATAGTGCTGTTCGTTCAAACCGTCGCTGTGTCGTCAAATCTTGATGATATCGTGCGATCTAAATTGCTTATTGTAGGCGACGTTAGGGAGCTCCAGATCCAAGTTGAATGAAGTCATTTGGAGTTGTGAGCAGATCGCTATGAACGTTTAAAGCCGCTGTGCAGAAATCCGACTGTGCACTCTATCCTTAGTTTTAGGCACATTGAAGCCTACTGTGACTATAACAAGTGGTATCAGAGCCCCTTGGAGCAGCTACGACTATGACTGGACCTGGAGAAAGGGGTGGCAGAGGTGCTGGTGGCAATGGAGATGCCCAAGCACAAGGCCAAGCCCGTGATTCAGCCGTGGCGCCCGTGCAACCTACTCTTGGACCTTCTAGGGATGAACCAAGAGCGTTCGGACTTGACAAGTTCAACGGCGACAACTTTGCTGAACGGTCCTTCAGAATGGAGAACGTGTTCGACCATTATGACCTGCTGGAGGTGATGGAAGGAACGGAGAAGCGTCCCGAGAACGACCCGGAGAAGAGCCTGTGGGTGCGGAAGAGCGCACAAGGCTATCTTCTACTTGGGCAAGCGTCGGGGAGCAACCAGATCCGTCACATCAAGCCTTTCCAGCATGAACCAGAGAAAGGACAAAAGGCATGGGCTGCTCTCAAGGGTGTACACGCTCCTGCAACAGCGGCGGTAGCTGTGGTGTTGGAACGGCAAATGGCGACGCCACGAATTGAGGAAGATGAACCCGTGGAAGACGGGGTGCAGAGATTCTTCGACTTGTTAACGCGGCTAGAGGGAGCTGATTAGAACTACAGTGAGCTCCAGAAGAAGACCAAGTTGCTGGCCTTACTCACCGAGTCGTGGTCCTCGCTCATCATCAATTTGAACCGTGACCTGCCCCGTCTCTCGCTTGAAGGCGTGAAGCGCGCGATCCTACAAGAGGACTTCCGCCGCCGTGAGTTGGCGAGTGCGGATGGCGCTGGGGCAGCTAGCGTCGGCCGTGGATATGGCCGAGGAAGAGGCAGAGGACGAGGGGGAGGAAGATCTGGTGGCGGCAACTTCAGTGGAGGCCGCGGGAACGGCAGTTACGGCAGCGACGACAAGAGCTACGGACGCGGTCGCGGTCGATTCGACGGCGAATGTCATTATTGCGGCAAGAGCGGACATATGTGGCGCGATTGCTTCAAACTCCCTGAAGGATGGACCCCTGCTCAAGGCCAAGAGGGTAAAGGAGCAGGAGGAGGGAGAGGAAGAGGCCGTGGAGGCCGTGGCGGTGCTGCAAATGTGAAGAGCGAAGATAACGACAAGGACCCGAGCGGCGATCGGTACCCGGGCCTATTCTACTTCGTGTCGACGCAAGTACCGGCTGGTCCAGAGAAGGATGAAGACCTTGAGGAGCCAGCAGCTGTAGGGAAGGTGACCCTACACCCCCTGGACTATTGGGTGATCGACAGTGGCGCTACCTATAGCATGACACCTCGCCCGGACTTGCTCACCGAACTTGAACCGTCATCGGTGAAGCATGTCACATCGGCTTTGGGGCAGCGAGCAGAGGTAAAAGGCATGGGGAAGGCCATGTTCAAGGGTGCTGATGGGAAGATGGTGGGCCTCAAGAACGTGCTTTGGGTGCCCAGCCTTGCTGCGAACCTGATTTCCGTGCGGCGGTTGGCAAAGGCCGGCATGGACACTAACTCGAAGGGAGCCAAGACCTACACCGCAAGGCTTGGCGATCGGATTCTTTGGGACCTTCATGAGGACGGAGATGTCTACAACGAGATGTGGCAGATCCCTGTGGTCCCAATGCCTAAGGAGAGGCAAGTGGCAGCAAGCGTCAGCACTAAAGGTGGAGCGGTTGGTAGCGGCGATTGCGCGGACGGTCGCGCTAAGGAGAAGGAGTCCAAGAAGTGCAATCTTGGAGGGACCAGCAAGTTTAGTGAACCTAAGGAGAGTGGTGCAGCAACCAAGGAGCAGCAAAAGGGTGAGGAGAACCCCGAGGCAACAGCGGAGGAGGACTACGGAGAGAGTATGTGGGGCGCTATTGCGAGCGCGGCATTTTCGAATCCAACTTCGGCTACGGGGGAGTGTGATTGGCTCACCTTGCATCGGCGCATGGGGCATGTGGCCCTGCCCATCTTGCAGCAGCATACGTGTGAAGGGGGAGCCCGATGAGGTACTTGGCTGCCCGACGTGCATGCAAGCCAAGTTCACCCGTTTCCCATTCTCTAGTTCGGAGGCAACGGCTAAGGCACCACTTGATGAGGTGGTGATGGACGTGGTGGGCCCCCTGAAGCTTGGAGCTGCTGGAGCTGAGTACTTCCTCACTATTGTGGACGTCTACACCCGTATGACTTGGGTGTACGTGCTGGCCAAGAAGAGCAACGTGGCTGAAACGTTGAAGGCGGATTGGTTCCCGATGGTGGAGCGGCAACAAGACCGTCTAGTCAAGTCAATCCGCACCGATCGAGGGGGAGAGTTCCTGAACAAGGAGTTTGGGTTGTGGCTGAAGAAGAATGGTATTCGGCACTCCCTCACCATGCCATACTCCCCTGCAATGAACGGCATCGCTGAGCGAGCGAACCGCACAATCACGGAGGCTGCACGCGGGTTGCTCATTGAAGCCGGGCTACCCGACTATTTCTGGCCTGATGCGGTGCGGAGCGCATGTGTGGCCAAGAACAGAGCCTTGAATCATGTGGGAGCAGACAAATGGGTGCCCTATGTGGAGTGGCTAGGAAGGAAGCCAAAGGTGGATATGCTTCGGGTGTTCGGGTGCATGTGCATGGCGCTTGTGCCTAAGCATCTTCGGCACAACAAGCTTGGTGCCAAGGCGGTGTGGGCCGTGCACTTGGGCATGGCTCAAAACAGCAAGGGATGGCTTCTTTGGGACCCATTCACCAAGAAGTTCTTGGTGAGCAGGGACTGCAAGTTCATGGAGAACTTCATGTACAAGGATTGGAAGGCGGAGAATGAGGCGGAGATAGGCGTGCGGTTTGGGGAGGTGAAGAGTTCCGGTTTGGAGCATGTGGAGCTGCCTTTGGAGCTGAGCAGCGGCAAAACAACCACGAGGCAATCCTCCCTTGTGAATGGGGGAGAGGAGGCCACTGATGCAGAGGAAGAAGAGGAGGAGGTGCAGCAAGTGAGCGAACGTGCACCGTCACTCCCTTCCCGTACCACGAGTGCTCCACGGAATCGAGCCACACCGCAGCAACGCCAAGGCCTTCAAGTCCCTGCAGCTGAGGAGGAAGGAAGGGGGAAGAGGAGAATTCAACCCCCTAATAGGCTGACCTATGATGCACTTGGAAAGCAAGGCAAGACAGCCCTGGCCGGAGCGGCAATGATGGTCGGAGACGATGAGGAGAGTGACTACGAGGAGTGTGCCTTCGCGTTCTTCTCTCCGGTGGAGATGCCGGGAGAACCAGCAACTCTCAAGGAGGCTTTGGAGAGTAGTGATGCTGAGGAGTGGAAGAAGGCCATGGAGAGTGAGCTGAAGTGCATCGAGGAGAGTGACACGTTTGAATTGGTGGAGCTACCGGAGGGGCGTACGGCGATAACGTCCAAGTGGCTCTTCAAAATCAAGTCGGATGCCGACGGCAAGATCGAGCGTTACAAGTCTAGGCTTGTAGCCAAGGGGTACCAGCAGAAGGAGAAGGTGGACTTCAAGGAGCTGTTTGCCCCTGTGGTGAAGCCGAGGACGCTGCGAACCCTATTCGCGGGAGCCGCCATCAAAGGATGGGTGGTGAAGCAAATGGACATTATGACGGCATTCCTCAACGGCATCCTTGAGGAGGAGATTTTTATGGCGCAGCCAGAGGGGTTTGATGATGGTAGTGGCAGAGTGTGGGAGGCTTCATATGCTGTGTTGGTGGAGGCCCAACTGCTTGGGAGAGCAAGAAGCAGGTTGACCAAGCTTTGAGCTCGGTGGAGTCCGAGTACATGGCACTCTTCCGTGCCGTACGGGAGATTGTGTGGCAGCGGCGTTTGTTGGCTGAATTGGGGGAGGAGCAGCAAGGACCTACCCCACTATATTGTGACAGCCAGGGTGCCATTGCTCTTTCTAAGAACCCTGTGTTGCATGGACTCACGAAGCACATGAGGGTGAAGTGGCATTGGAGGAGGAGCATGGTAACCGCGGGTGAAGTTGAGTTGCGCTACGTGAAGACCACGGGGCAGCCGGCTGACATGATGACCAAGAGGCTGGTGGAGCAGCAGCATTGGAAGTGTTGCAAGCTGGCTGGGATGGCTCTGAACTGACAGAGCAACATATCCTAAGGCCAACAATCCGAGGGGGAGTTTGTTGGTGCAACCCTATGGTTTGCACTCGGCTTGTTGTCCGTGTGCGTGCATGTGTGTGTGTCTATGAAATGGCATGAGGGCATGGGATAATATATATTTAATGCTTATAATTGTGTGTGAATGTTGAGTCATGATGTCGAGTGTATGTGTCGAGTCAATAGCGAGTTATGGCTAGACGCGTGTTACGCGGTCGTTTGTGTCTCGCGCGCGGTTTCTATTTTGTCGTGCGCGGTTTCTCTTTTGTCCTGTGTCGAACGTTCGATGTGTCGCAGGTGTGTGCAGCAGACCCATCAAGAACTCAAGGATGAGTTTGTGATGAAGAGCCGAGCCTTGGTGTCAATCCACAAGTGATTTCAAAGCTCGCCAAAAGGGTACACCTCAAGATATTGAAGATAGTTACATTACTTTGTGTAGTGTAACATTTCACTTGGTGTAGGCCCTAGTGAAGGGTAGTTTCGAGACCCTTCATGGTTGGGGACAGTGTGGCACTGTTCCACATCACTGTACCTCGGCTCTTGGGGTTTGTAGGAGCTGGGAGTTATTCCCAACTCGTAATTCTTCCTAACTTTTCCTATCTTGTGTTCTAAGACTATAGTGGCTGCCATAGTGCCGTTCGTTCAAACCGACCCTGTGTCGTCAATACTTGGTCAAATCGTGCGATCTAAATTGCCTATTATAGGCGACAATAAGATGCTCCAGATCCAAGTTGAATCAAGTCATTTGAAGCTGTGACCAAAACGCTATGAACGTTTGACGCCGCTGTGCAGAAATCCGACTGTGCACTCTATCTTTCGTTTTAGGCACATTGGAGCCTACTTCGACTATAACAGGGGTGATGGAAGGAGGTAGAATGAGGCGCGGTGATGGAAGGAGGGAGAATGGGGCAGGGTGATGGAAAGCGGGAGAATGGGGCGGGGTGATGGAAAGCGGGAGAATGGGGTGGGCTGATGGAAAGCGGGAGAATGGGGCAGGGTGATGGAAAGCGGGAGAATGGGGCGGGGTGATGGAAAGCGGGAGAATGAGGCGGGGTGATGGAAAGCGGGAGAATGGGGCGGGCCGATGGAAAGTGGGAGAATGGGGCGGGGCGATGGAAGGAGGGAGAATGGGGCGGGGTGATGGAAGGAGGGAGAATGGGGCGGGTGATGAAAGGAGGGAGAATGGGGCGGGGTTATGGAAAGCGGGAGAATGGGGCGGGGTGATGGAAAGCGGGAGAATGGGGCGGGGTGATGGAAGGAGGGAGAATGGGGCGGGATGATGGAAAGCAGGAGATTGGGGCAGGGTGATGGAAAGCGGGAAAATGGGGCGGGGTGATGGAAAGCGCGAGAATGGGGCTGGGTGATGGAAAGCAGGAGAATGGGGCGGGGTGATGGAAAGCGGGAGAATGGGGCGGGGTGATGGAAGGAGGGAGAATGAGGCGGGGTGATGGAAGGAGGGAGAATGGGGCGGGTTGATGGAAAGCGGGAGAATGGGGCGGGGTGATGGAAAGCGGGAGAATGGGGCGGAGTGATGGAAAGCGGGAGAATGGGGCGGGGTGATGGAAAGCGGGAGAATGGGGCGGGGTGATGGAAAGCGGGAGAACGGGGCGGGATGTTGGAAAGCGGGAGAATGGGGCGGGGTGATGAAAAGCGGGAGGATGGGGCGGGGTGATGGAAAGCGGGAGAACGGGGCGGGGTGATGGAAAGCGGGAGAATGGGGCGGGTTATGGAATGCGAGTGAATGGGGCGGGGTGATTGAAAGCGGGAGAATGGGGCGGGTTGATGGAAAGCAGAAGAATGGGGCGAGGTGATGGAAAGCGGGAGAATGGGGCGGGGTGACGGAAAGCGGGAGAATGGGGCAGGGTGATGGAAGGAGGGAGAATGGGGCGGGGTGATGGAAAGCGGGAGAATGGGGCGTGGTGATGGAAAGCGGGAGAATGGGGCGGGGTGATGGAAAGCGGGAGAATGGGGCGGGGTGATGGAAAGCGGGAGAATGGGGCGGAGTGATGGAAGGAGGTAGAATGAGGCGGGGTGATGGAAGGAGAAGAATGGGGCGGAATGATGGAAAGCGGGAGAATGGGGCGGGGTGATGGAAAGCGGGAGAATGGGGCAGAGTGATGGAAAGCGGGAGAATGGGGCGGGGTGATGGAAAGCGGGAGAATGGGGCGTGGTGATGGAAAGCGAGAGAATGGGGCGGGGTGATGGAAAGCGGGAGCATGGGGCGGGGTGATGGAAAGCGGGAGAATGGGGCGGGGTGATGGAAAGAGGGAGAATGGGGCGCGATGATGGAAAGAGGGAGAATGGGGCGGGGTGATGGAACGCGGGAGAATGGGGCTGGGTGATGGAAAGAGGGAGAATGGGGAGGGGTGATGGAAAGAGGGAGAATTGGGTGGGGTGTTGGAACGCGGGAGAATGGAGCGGGGTGATGGAAAGCGGGAGAATGGGGCGGGGTGATGGAAAGCGGGAGAATGGGACGGGGTGATGGAAAGAGTGAAAATGGGGCGGGGTGATGGATTGGGGGAGAATGGGGCGGGGTGATGGAAAAAGGGAGAATGGGGCGGGGTGATGGAAAGCGGGAGAATGGGACGGGGTGATGGGAAGAGTGAAAATGGGGAGGGGTGATGGATTGGGGGAAAATGGGGCGGGGTGATGGAAAGAGGGAGAATGGGTCGGGGTGATGGAAAGAGGGAAAATTGGGCGGGGTGATGGAAAGCGGGAGAATGGGACGGGGTGATGGAAAGCAGTAGAATGGGGCGCGGTGATGGAAAGCGGGAGAATGGGGCGGGGTGATGGAAAGAGGGAGAATGGGGCGGGATGATGGAAAGCGGGAGAATGGGGCGGGGTGATGGAAAGCAGGAGAATGGAAAGGGGTGATGGAAAGCGGGAAAATGGGGCGGGGTGATAGAAAGCGGGAGAATGGGGCGGGGTGATGGAAAGAGGGAGAATGGGGCGGGGTGATGGAAAGCGGGAGAATGGGGCCGGGTGATGGAAAGAGGGAGAATGGGGAGGGGTGATGGAAAGAGGGAGAATTGGGCGGGGTAGTGGAAAGCGGGACAATGGAGCGGGGTGATGGAAAGCGGGAGAATTGTTGGTGCAACCTACGGTTTGCACTCGGCTTGTTGTCCGTGTGCGTGCATGCGTGTGTGCATGGAATGGTATGAGGGCATGGGATAATATATATTTCATGCTTACAATAGTGTGTGTATGATGGGTCATGATATTGAGTGTGTGTCAAGTCAATAGCGAGTTATCGCTAGTCGCGTGTAACGCGGTCATTTTGTGTGTCCCGCGCGGTTTCTATTTTGTCGTGCGCAGTTTCTATTTTGTCGCTTGTCGAACGTTCGGCGTGTCGCAGGTGTGTGCAGCAGACCCATCAAGAACTCAAGGATGAGTTTGTGATGAAGAACCCGAGCCCTGGTGTCAACATTCAAGTGTTCGCGAAGTCCGCGAAAAGGGTACACCTCAAGATATCAAGATTCGTTACATTACAACGTGTAGTGTAACATTTCAGTTGGTGTAGACCCTAGTGAAGGGTAGTTTCGAGATCCTTCGTGGTTGGGGACAGTGTGGCACTGTTCCACATCACTGTACCTCGGCTCTTGGGGTTTGTAGGAGCTGGGAGTCATTCCCAACTCGTAACTCTTGCTAACTCTTCCTAAGTTGCGTTCTAAGACTATGTTGCTGCCATAGTGCTGTTCGTTCAAACCGTCGCTGTGTCGTCAAATCTTGATGATATCGTGCGATCTAAATTGCTTATTGTAGGCGACGTTAGGGAGCTCCAGATCCAAGTTGAATGAAGTCATTTGGAGTTGTGAGCAGATCGCTATGAACGTTTAAAGCCGCTGTGCAGAAATCCGACTGTGCACTCTATCCTTAGTTTTAGGCACATTGAAGCCTACTGTGACTATAACAAGTGGTATCAGAGCCCCTTGGAGCAGCTACGACTATGACTGGACCTGGAGAAAGGGGTGGCAGAGGTGCTGGTGGCAATGGAGATGCCCAAGCACAAGGCCAAGCCCGTGATTCAGCCGTGGCGCCCGTGCAACCTACTCTTGGACCTTCTAGGGATGAACCAAGAGCGTTCGGACTTGACAAGTTCAACGGCGACAACTTTGCTGAACGGTCCTTCAGAATGGAGAACGTGTTCGACCATTATGACCTGCTGGAGGTGATGGAAGGAACGGAGAAGCGTCCCGAGAACGACCCGGAGAAGAGCCTGTGGGTGCGGAAGAGCGCACAAGGCTATCTTCTACTTGGGCAAGCGTCGGGGAGCAACCAGATCCGTCACATCAAGCCTTTCCAGCATGAACCAGAGAAAGGACAAAAGGCATGGGCTGCTCTCAAGGGTGTACACGCTCCTGCAACAGCGGCGGTAGCTGTGGTGTTGGAACGGCAAATGGCGACGCCACGAATTGAGGAAGATGAACCCGTGGAAGACGGGGTGCAGAGATTCTTCGACTTGTTAACGCGGCTAGAGGGAGCTGATTAGAACTACAGTGAGCTCCAGAAGAAGACCAAGTTGCTGGCCTTACTCACCGAGTCGTGGTCCTCGCTCATCATCAATTTGAACCGTGACCTGCCCCGTCTCTCGCTTGAAGGCGTGAAGCGCGCGATCCTACAAGAGGACTTCCGCCGCCGTGAGTTGGCGAGTGCGGATGGCGCTGGGGCAGCTAGCGTCGGCCGTGGATATGGCCGAGGAAGAGGCAGAGGACGAGGGGGAGGAAGATCTGGTGGCGGCAACTTCAGTGGAGGCCGCGGGAACGGCAGTTACGGCAGCGACGACAAGAGCTACGGACGCGGTCGCGGTCGATTCGACGGCGAATGTCATTATTGCGGCAAGAGCGGACATATGTGGCGCGATTGCTTCAAACTCCCTGAAGGATGGACCCCTGCTCAAGGCCAAGAGGGTAAAGGAGCAGGAGGAGGGAGAGGAAGAGGCCGTGGAGGCCGTGGCGGTGCTGCAAATGTGAAGAGCGAAGATAACGACAAGGACCCGAGCGGCGATCGGTACCCGGGCCTATTTTACTTCGTGTCGACGCAAGTACCGGCTGGTCCAGAGAAGGATGAAGACCTTGAGGAGCCAGCAGCTGTAGGGAAGGTGACCCTACACCCCCTGGACTATTGGGTGATCGACAGTGGCGCTACCTATAGCATGACACCTCGCCCGGACTTGCTCACCGAACTTGAACCGTCATCGGTGAAGCATGTCACATCGGCTTTGGGGCAGCGAGCAGAGGTAAAAGGCATGGGGAAGGCCATGTTCAAGGGTGCTGATGGGAAGATGGTGGGCCTCAAGAACGTGCTTTGGGTGCCCAGCCTTGCTGCGAACCTGATTTCCGTGCGGCGGTTGGCAAAGGCCGGCATGGACACTAACTCGAAGGGAGCCAAGACCTACACCGCAAGGCTTGGCGATCGGATTCTTTGGGACCTTCATGAGGACGGAGATGTCTACAACGAGATGTGGCAGATCCCTGTGGTCCCAATGCCTAAGGAGAGGCAAGTGGCAGCAAGCGTCAGCACTAAAGGTGGAGCGGTTGGTAGCGGCGATTGCGCGGACGGTCGCGCTAAGGAGAAGGAGTCCAAGAAGTGCAATCTTGGAGGGACCAGCAAGTTTAGTGAACCTAAGGAGAGTGGTGCAGCAACCAAGGAGCAGCAAAAGGGTGAGGAGAACCCCGAGGCAACAGCGGAGGAGGACTACGGAGAGAGTATGTGGGGCGCTATTGCGAGCGCGGCATTTTCGAATCCAACTTCGGCTACGGGGGAGTGTGATTGGCTCACCTTGCATCGGCGCATGGGGCATGTGGCCCTGCCCATCTTGCAGCAGCATACGTGTGAAGGGGGAGCCCGATGAGGTACTTGGCTGCCCGACGTGCATGCAAGCCAAGTTCACCCGTTTCCCATTCTCTAGTTCGGAGGCAACGGCTAAGGCACCACTTGATGAGGTGGTGATGGACGTGGTGGGCCCCCTGAAGCTTGGAGCTGCTGGAGCTGAGTACTTCCTCACTATTGTGGACGTCTACACCCGTATGACTTGGGTGTACGTGCTGGCCAAGAAGAGCAACGTGGCTGAAACGTTGAAGGCGGATTGGTTCCCGATGGTGGAGCGGCAACAAGACCGTCTAGTCAAGTCAATCCGCACCGATCGAGGGGGAGAGTTCCTGAACAAGGAGTTTGGGTTGTGGCTGAAGAAGAATGGTATTCGGCACTCCCTCACCATGCCATACTCCCCTGCAATGAACGGCATCGCTGAGCGAGCGAACCGCACAATCACGGAGGCTGCACGCGGGTTGCTCATTGAAGCCGGGCTACCCGACTATTTCTGGCCTGATGCGGTGCGGAGCGCATGTGTGGCCAAGAACAGAGCCTTGAATCATGTGGGAGCAGACAAATGGGTGCCCTATGTGGAGTGGCTAGGAAGGAAGCCAAAGGTGGATATGCTTCGGGTGTTCGGGTGCATGTGCATGGCGCTTGTGCCTAAGCATCTTCGGCACAACAAGCTTGGTGCCAAGGCGGTGTGGGCCGTGCACTTGGGCATGGCTCAAAACAGCAAGGGATGGCTTCTTTGGGACCCATTCACCAAGAAGTTCTTGGTGAGCAAGGACTGCAAGTTCATGGAGAACTTCATGTACAAGGATTGGAAGGCGGAGAATGAGGCGGAGATAGGCGTGCGGTTTGGGGAGGTGAAGAGTTCCGGTTTGGAGCATGTGGAGCTGCCTTTGGAGCTGAGCAGCGGCAAAACAACCACGAGGCAATCCTCCCTTGTGAATGGGGGAGAGGAGGCCACTGATGCAGAGGAAGAAGAGGAGGAGGTGCAGCAAGTGAGCGAACGTGCACCGTCACTCCCTTCCCGTACCACGAGTGCTCCACGGAATCGAGCCACACCGCAGCAACGCCAAGGCCTTCAAGTCCCTGCAGCTGAGGAGGAAGGAAGGGGGAAGAGGAGAATTCAACCCCCTAATAGGCTGACCTATGATGCACTTGGAAAGCAAGGCAAGACAGCCCTGGCCGGAGCGGCAATGATGGTCGGAGACGATGAGGAGAGTGACTACGAGGAGTGTGCCTTCGCGTTCTTCTCTCCGGTGGAGATGCCGGGAGAACCAGCAACTCTCAAGGAGGCTTTGGAGAGTAGTGATGCTGAGGAGTGGAAGAAGGCCATGGAGAGTGAGCTGAAGTGCATCGAGGAGAGTGACACGTTTGAATTGGTGGAGCTACCGGAGGGGCGTACGGCGATAACGTCCAAGTGGCTCTTCAAAATCAAGTCGGATGCCGACGGCAAGATCGAGCGTTACAAGTCTAGGCTTGTAGCCAAGGGGTACCAGCAGAAGGAGAAGGTGGACTTCAAGGAGCTGTTTGCCCCTGTGGTGAAGCCGAGGACGCTGCGAACCCTATTCGCGGGAGCCGCCATCAAAGGATGGGTGGTGAAGCAAATGGACATTATGACGGCATTCCTCAACGGCATCCTTGAGGAGGAGATTTTTATGGCGCAGCCAGAGGGGTTTGATGATGGTAGTGGCAGAGTGTGGGAGGCTTCATATGCTGTGTTGGTGGAGGCCCAACTGCTTGGGAGAGCAAGAAGCAGGTTGACCAAGCTTTGAGCTCGGTGGAGTCCGAGTACATGGCACTCTTCCGTGCCGTACGGGAGATTGTGTGGCAGCGGCGTTTGTTGGCTGAATTGGGGGAGGAGCAGCAAGGACCTACCCCACTATATTGTGACAGCCAGGGTGCCATTGCTCTTTCTAAGAACCCTGTGTTGCATGGACTCACGAAGCACATGAGGGTGAAGTGGCATTGGAGGAGGAGCATGGTAACCGCGGGTGAAGTTGAGTTGCGCTACGTGAAGACCACGGGGCAGCCGGCTGACATGATGACCAAGAGGCTGGTGGAGCAGCAGCATTGGAAGTGTTGCAAGCTGGCTGGGATGGCTCTGAACTGACAGAGCAACATATCCTAAGGCCAACAATCCGAGGGGGAGTTTGTTGGTGCAACCCTATGGTTTGCACTCGGCTTGTTGTCCGTGTGCGTGCATGTGTGTGTGTCTATGAAATGGCATGAGGGCATGGGATAATATATATTTAATGCTTATAATTGTGTGTGAATGTTGAGTCATGATGTCGAGTGTATGTGTCGAGTCAATAGCGAGTTATGGCTAGACGCGTGTTACGCGGTCGTTTGTGTCTCGCGCGCGGTTTCTATTTTGTCGTGCGCGGTTTCTCTTTTGTCCTGTGTCGAACGTTCGATGTGTCGCAGGTGTGTGCAGCAGACCCATCAAGAACTCAAGGATGAGTTTGTGATGAAGAGCCGAGCCTTGGTGTCAATCCACAAGTGATTTCAAAGCTCGCCAAAAGGGTACACCTCAAGATATTGAAGATAGTTACATTACTTTGTGTAGTGTAACATTTCACTTGGTGTAGGCCCTAGTGAAGGGTAGTTTCGAGACCCTTCATGGTTGGGGACAGTGTGGCACTGTTCCACATCACTGTACCTCGGCTCTTGGGGTTTGTAGGAGCTGGGAGTTATTCCCAACTCGTAATTCTTCCTAACTTTTCCTATCTTGTGTTCTAAGACTATAGTGGCTGCCATAGTGCCGTTCGTTCAAACCGACCCTGTGTCGTCAATACTTGGTCAAATCGTGCGATCTAAATTGCCTATTATAGGCGACAATAAGACGCTCCAGATCCAAGTTGAATCAAGTCATTTGAAGCTGTGACCAAAACGCTATGAACGTTTGACGCCGCTGTGCAGAAATCCGACTGTGCACTCTATCTTTCGTTTTAGGCACATTGGAGCCTACTTCGACTATAACAGGGGTGATGGAAGGAGGTAGAATGAGGCGCGGTGATGGAAGGAGGGAGAATGGGGCAGGGTGATGGAAAGCGGGAGAATGGGGCGGGGTGATGGAAAGCGGGAGAATGGGGTGGGCTGATGGAAAGCGGGAGAATGGGGCAGGGTGATGGAAAGCGGGAGAATGGGGCGGGGTGATGGAAAGCGGGAGAATGAGGCGGGGTGATGGAAAGCGGGAGAATGGGGCGGGCCGATGGAAAGTGGGAGAATGGGGCGGGGCGATGGAAGGAGGGAGAATGGGGCGGGGTGATGGAAGGAGGGAGAATGGGGCGGGTGATGAAAGGAGGGAGAATGGGGCGGGGTTATGGAAAGCGGGAGAATGGGGCGGGGTGATGGAAAGCGGGAGAATGGGGCGGGGTGATGGAAGGAGGGAGAATGGGGCGGGATGATGGAAAGCAGGAGATTGGGGCAGGGTGATGGAAAGCGGGAAAATGGGGCGGGGTGATGGAAAGCGCGAGAATGGGGCTGGGTGATGGAAAGCAGGAGAATGGGGCGGGGTGATGGAAAGCGGGAGAATGGGGCGGGGTGATGGAAGGAGGGAGAATGAGGCGGGGTGATGGAAGGAGGGAGAATGGGGCGAGTTGATGGAAAGCGGGAGAATGGGGCGGGGTGATGGAAAGCGGGAGAATGGGGCGGAGTGATGGAAAGCGGGAGAATGGGGCGGGGTGATGGAAAGCGGGAGAATGGGGCGGGGTGATGGAAAGCGGGAGAACGGGGCGGGATGTTGGAAAGCGGGAGAATGGGGCGGGGTGATGAAAAGCGGGAGGATGGGGCGGGGTGATGGAAAGCGGGAGAACGGGGCGGGGTGATGGAAAGCGGGAGAATGGGGCGGGTTATGGAATGCGAGTGAATGGGGCGGGGTGATTGAAAGCGGGAGAATGGGGCGGGTTGATGGAAAGCAGAAGAATGGGGCGAGGTGATGGAAAGCGGGAGAATGGGGCGGGGTGACGGAAAGCGGGAGAATGGGGCAGGGTGATGGAAGGAGGGAGAATGGGGCGGGGTGATGGAAAGCGGGAGAATGGGGCGTGGTGATGGAAAGCGGGAGAATGGGGCGGGGTGATGGAAAGCGGGAGAATGGGGCGGGGTGATGGAAAGCGGGAGAATGGGGCGGGGTGATGGAAGGAGGTAGAATGAGGCGGGGTGATGGAAGGAGAAGAATGGGGCGGAATGATGGAAAGCGGGAGAATGGGGCGGGGTGATGGAAAGCGGGAGAATGGGGCAGAGTGATGGAAAGCGGGAGAATGGGGCGGGGTGATGGAAAGCGGGAGAATGGGGCGTGGTGATGGAAAGCGAGAGAATGGGGCGGGGTGATGGAAAGCGGGAGCATGGGGCGGGGTGATGGAAAGCGGGAGAATGGGGCGGGGTGATGGAAAGAGGGAGAATGGGGCGCGATGATGGAAAGAGGGAGAATGGGGCGGGGTGATGGAACGCGGGAGAATGGGGCTGGGTGATGGAAAGAGGGAGAATGGGGAGGGGTGATGGAAAGAGGGAGAATTGGGTGGGGTGTTGGAACGCGGGAGAATGGAGCGGGGTGATGGAAAGCGGGAGAATGGGGCGGGGTGATGGAAAGCGGGAGAATGGGACGGGGTGATGGAAAGAGTGAAAATGGGGCGGGGTGATGGATTGGGGGAGAATGGGGCGGGGTGATGGAAAAAGGGAGAATGGGGCGGGGTGATGGAAAGCGGGAGAATGGGACGGGGTGATGGGAAGAGTGAAAATGGGGAGGGGTGATGGATTGGGGGAAAATGGGGCGGGGTGATGGAAAGAGGGAGAATGGGTCGGGGTGATGGAAAGAGGGAAAATTGGGCGGGGTGATGGAAAGCGGGAGAATGGGACGGGGTGATGGAAAGCAGTAGAATGGGGCGCGGTGATGGAAAGCGGGAGAATGGTGCGGGGTGATGGAAAGCGGGAGAATGGTGCGGGGTGATGGAAAGAGGGAGGATGGGGCGAGGTGATGGAAAGAGGGAGAATGGGGCGGGGTGATGGAAAGAGGGAGAATGGGGAGGGGTGATGGAAAGAGGGCGAATGGGGCGGGGTGATGGAAAGAGGGAGAACGGAGAGGGGTGATGGAAAGCAGGAGAATGGGGCGGTGTGATGGAAAGCGGGAGAATGGGGCGGGGTGATGGAAAGCGAGAGAATGGGGCGGGGTGATGGAAAGCGGGAGAAAGGGGCGGGGTGATGGAAAGCGGGAGAATGGGGCGGGGTGATGGAAAGCGGGAGAATGGGGCGGGGTGATGGAAAGCGGGAGTATGGGGCGGGGTGATGGAAAGCGGGAGAATGAGGCGTGGTGATGGAAAGCGGGAGAATGGGGCGGGGTGATGGAAAGAGGGAGAATGGGGTGGGGTGATGGAAGGAGGGAGAATGGGGCGGGTGATGGAAGGAGGGAGAATGGGGCGGGGTGATGGAAAGTGGGAGAATATGGCGGGGTGATGGAAAGCAGGAGAATGGGGCGGGGTTATGGAAAGCGGGAGAATGGGGCGGGGTGATGGAATGCGGGAGAATGGGGCGGGGTGATGGAAAGCGGGAGAATGGGGCGGGGTGATGGGAAGCGGGAGAATGGGGAGGGGTGATGGAAAGCGGGAGAATGGGGCGGGGTGATGGAAGGAGGGAGAATGAGGCGGGGTGATGGAAGGAGGGAGAATGGGGCGGGGTGATGGAAAGCGGGAGAATGGGGCGGGGTGATGGAAAGCGTGAGAATGGGGCGAGGTGATGGAAAGCGGGAGAATGGGGCGGGGTGATGGAAAGCGGGAGTGGGGTGGGGTGATGGAAAGCGTGAGAATGGGGCGGGGTGATGGAAAGCGGGTGAATTGGGCGGGGTGATGGAGAGCGTGAGAATGGGGCGAGGTGATGGAAAGCGGGAGAATGGGGCGGGGTGACGGAGAGGAGCGGAATGGGGCGGGGTGATGGAAAGCGGGTGAATGGGAAAGCGTGAGAATGGGGCGGGGTTATGGAAAGCGGGAGAACGGGGCGGGGTGATGGAGAGCGGGAGAATGGGGCTGGGTGATGGAAAGCGGGAGAATGGGGCGGGCTGATGGAAAGCGGGAGAAAGGGGCGGGATGATGGAAGGAGGGAGAATGGGGCGGGGTGATGGAAGGAGGGAGAAGGGGGCGGGGTTATGGAAACCGGGAGAATGGGGCGGGGAGATGGAACGCAAGAGAATGGGGCGGGGTGATGGAAAGCGGGAGAATGGGGCAGGCTGATGGAAAGCGGGAGAAAGGGGCGGGGTGATGGAAGGAGGGAGAATGGGGCAGGGTGATGGAAGGAGGGAGAAGGGGGCGGGGTGATGGAAACCGGGAGAATGGGGCGGGGTGATGGAATGCGGGAGAATGGGGCGAGGTGATGGAAAGCGGGAGAATGGGGCGGGGTGATGGAATGCGGAAGAATGGGGTGGGGTGATGGAAAGCGGGAGAATGGGGCGGGGTGATGGAAGGAGGGAGAATGGGGCGGGGTGATGGAATGCGGGAGAATGGGGCGGGGTGATGGAAAGCGGGGGAATGGGGCGGGGTGATGGAAGGAGGGAGAATGGGGCGGGGTGATGGAAAGAGGGAGAATGGGGCGGGTTGATGGAAAGCGGTAGAATGGGACGGGGAGATGGAAAGAGTGAAAATGGGGAGGGGTGATGGATTGGGGGAGAATGGGGCGGGGTGATGGAAAGAGGGAGAATGGGTCGGGGTGATGGAAAGAGGGAAAATTGGGCGGGGTGATGGAAAGCGGGAGAATGGGACGGGGTGATGGAAAGCAGTAGAATGGGGCGCGGTGATGGAAAGCGGGAGAATGGTGCGGGGTGATGGAAAGCGGGAGAATGGTGCGGGGTGATGGAAAGAGGGAGGATGGGGCGAGGTGATGGAAAGAGGGAGAATGGGGCAGGGTGATGGAAAGAGGGAGAATGGGGAGGGGTGATGGAAAGAGGGCGAATGGGGCGTGGTGATGGAAAGAGGGAGAACGGAGAGGGGTGATGGAAAGCAGGAGAATGGGGCGGTGTGATGGAAAGCGGGAGAATGGGGCGGGGTGATGGAAAGCGAGAGAATGGGGCGGGGTGATGGAAAGCGGGAGAAAGGGGCGGGGTGATGGAAAGCGGGAGAATGGGGCGGGGTGATGGAAAGCGGGAGAATGGGGCGGGGTGATGGAAAGCGGGAGTATGGGGCGGGGTGATGGAAAGCGGGAGAATGAGGCGTGGTGATGGAAAGCGGGAGAATGGGGTGGGGTGATAGAAGGAGGGAGAATGGGGTGGGATGATGGAAGGAGGGAGAATGGGGCGGGTGATGGAAGGAGGGAGAATGGGGCGGGGTGATGGAAAGTGGGAGAATATGGCGGGGTGATGGTAAGCAGGAGAATGGGGCGGGGTTATGGAAAGCGGGAGAATGGGGCGGGGTGATGGAATGCGGGAGAATGGGGCGGGGTGATGGAAAGCGGGAGAATGGGGCGGGGTGATGGGAAGCGGGAGAATGGGGCGGGGTGATGGAAAGCGGGAGAATAGGGCGGGGTGATGGAAGGAGGGAGAAGGGGGCGGGGTGATGGAAGGAGGGAGAAGGGGGCGGGGTTATGGAAACCGGGAGAATGGGGCGGGGAGATGGAACGCAGGAGAATGGGGCGGGGTGATGGAAAGCGGGAGAATGGGGCAGGCTGATGGAAAGCGGGAGAAAGGGGCGGGGTGATGGAAGGAGGGAGAATGGGGCAGGGTGATGGAAGGAGGGAGAAGGGGGCGGGGTGATGGAAACCGGGAGAATGGGGCGGGGTGATGGAATGCGGGAGAATGGGGCGAGGTGATGGAAAGCGGGAGAATGGGGCGGGGTGATGGAATGCGGAAGAATGGGGTGGGGTGATGGAAAGCGGGAGAATGGGGCGGGGTGATGGAAGGAGGGAGAATGGGGCGGGGTGATGGAATGCGGGAGAATGGGGCGGGGTGATGGAAAGCGGGGGAATGGGGCGGGGTGATGGAAGGAGGGAGAATGGGGCGGGGTGATGGAAAGAGGGAGAATGGGGCGGGTTGATGGAAAGCGGGAGAATGGGACGGGGTGATGGAAAGAGTGAAAATGGGTAGGGGTGATGGATTGGGGGAGAATGGGGCGGGGTGATGGAAAGAGGGAGAATGGGTCGGGGTGATGGAAAGAGGGAAAATTGGGCGGGGTGATGGAAAGCAGTAGAATGGGGTGCGGTGATGGAAAGCGGGAGAATGGTGCAGGGTGATGGAAAGCGGGAGAATGGTGCGGGGTGATGGAAAGAGGGAGGATGGGGCGAGGTGATGGAAAGAGGGAGAATGGGGCGGGGTGATGGAAAGAGGGAGAATGGGGAGGGGTGATGGAAAGAGGGCGAATGGGGCGGGGTGATGGAAAGAGGGAGAACGGAGAGGGGTGATGGAAAGCAGGAGAATGGGGCGGTGTGATGGAAAGCGGGAGAATGGGGCGGGGTGATGGAAAGCGAGAGAATGGGGCGGGGTGATGGAAAGCGGGAGAAAGGGGCGGGGTGATGGAAAGCGGGAGAATGGGGCGGGGTGATGGAAAGCGGGAGAATGGGGCGGGGTGATGGAAAGCGGGAGTATGGGGCGGGGTGATGGAAAGCGGGAGAATGAGGCGTGGTGATGGAAAGCGGGAGAATGGGGCGGGGTGATGGAAGGAGGGAGAATGGGGTGGGATGATGGAAGGAGGGAGAATGGGGCGGGTGATGGAAGGAGGGAGAATGGGGCGGGGTGATGGAAAGTGGGAGAATATGGCGGGGTGATGGTAAGCAGGAGAATAGGGCGGGGTTATGGAAAGCGGGAGAATGGGGCGGGGTGATGGAATGCGGGAGAATGGGGCGGGGTGATGGAAAGCGGGAGAATGGGGCGGGGTGATGGGAAGCGGGAGAATGGGGCGGGGTGATGGAAAGCGGGAGAATGGGGCGGGGTGATGGAAGGAGGGAGAATGAGGCGGGGTGATGGAAGGAGGGAGAATGGGGCGGGGTGATGGAAAGCGGGAGAATGGGGCGGGGTGATGGAAAGCGTGAGAATGGGGCGAGGTGATGGAAAGCGGGAGAATGGGGCGGGGTGATGGAAAGCGGGAGTGGGGTGGGGTGATGGAAAGCGTGAGAATGGGGCGGGGTGATGGAAAGCGGGTGAATTGGGCGGGGTGATGGAGAGCGTGAGAATGGGGCGAGGTGATGGAAAGCGGGAGAATGGGGCGGGGTGACGGAGAGGAGCGGAATGGGGCGGGGTGATGGAAAGCGGGTGAATGGGGCGGGGTGATGGAAAGCGTGAGAATGGGGCGGGGTTATGGAAAGCGGGAGAACGGGGCGGGGTGATGGAGAGCGGGAGAATGGGGCTGGGTGATGGAAAGCGGGAGAATGGGGCGGGGTGATGGAAAGCGGGAGTGGGGTGGGGTGATGGAAAGCGTGAGAATGGGGCGGGGTGATGGAAAGCGGGTGAATTGGGCGGGGTGATGGAGAGCGTGAGAATGGGGCGAGGTGATGGAAAGCGGGAGAATGGGGCGGGGTGACGGAGAGGAGCGGAATGGGGCGGGGTGATGGAAAGCGGGTGAATGGGGCGGGGTGATGGAAAGCGTGAGAATGGGGCGGGGTTATGGAAAGCGGGAGAACGGGGCGGGGTGATGGAGAGCGGGAGAATGGGGCTGGGTGATGGAAAGCGGGAGAATGGGGCGGGCTGATGGAAAGCGGGAGAAAGGGGCGGGATGATGGAAGGAGGGAGAATGGGGCGGGGTGATGGAAGGAGGGAGAAGGGGGCGGGGTTATGGAAACCGGGAGAATGGGGCGGGGAGATGGAACGCGGGAGAATGGGGCGGGGTGATGGAAAGCGGGAGAATGGGGCAGGCTGATGGAAAGCGGGAGAAAGGGGCGGGGTGATGGAAGGAGGGAGAATGGGGCAGGGTGATGGAAGGAGGGAGAAGGGGGCGGGGTGATGGAAACCGGGAGAATGGGGCGGGGTGATGGAATGCGGGAGAATGGGGCGAGGTGATGGAAAGCGGGAGAATGGGGCGGGGTGATGGAATGCGGAAGAATGGGGTGGGGTGATGGAAAGCGGGAGAATGGGGCGGGGTTATGGAAGGAGGGAGAATGGGGCGGGGTGATGGAATGCGGGAGAATGGGGCGGGGTGATGGAAAGCGGGGGAATGGGGCGGGGTGATGGAAGGAGGGAGAATGGGGCGGGGTGATGGAAAGTGGAAGAATGTGGTGGGGTGATGGAAAGCGGTAGAATGGGGCAGGGTGATAGAAGGAGGGAGAATGGGGCGGGGTGATGGAAAGAGGGAGAATAGGGCGGGGTGATGGAAAGCGGGGGAATGGGGCTGGATGATGGAAAGCGGGAGAATGGGGCGGGGTGACGAAAAGAGGGAGAATGGGGCAGGGTGACGGAAATCGAGAGAATTGGGCGGGGTGATAGAAAGTGGGAGAATGGGTCGGGGTGATGGAAAGCGGGAGAATGGGGCGGGGTGATGGAAGGAGGGAGAATGGGGCGGAGTGATGGAAAGCGGGAGAATGGGGTGGGGTGATTGAAAGCGGGAGAATGGGGCGGGGTGATTGAAAGCGGGAGAATGGGGAGGGGTGAAGGAAAGCGGGAGAATGGGGCGGGGTGATGGAAAGCGGGAGAATGGGGTGGGGTGATGGAAAGCGGGAGAATGGGGCGGGGTGATGGAAAGCGGGAGAATAGGGCGGGGTGATGGAAAGCGGGAGACTGGGGTGGGGTGATGGAAAGCGGGAGAATGGGGCAGGTGATGGAAAGCAGGAGAATGGGGCGGGGTGATAGAAAGCGGGAGAATGGGTCGGGGTGATGGAAAGCGGGAGAATGGGGCGAGGTGATGGAAAGCGGGAGAATGGGGTGGGGTGATGGAAGGAGGGAGAATGGGGCAGGGTGATGAAAAGCGGGAGAATGGGGCGAGATGATGGGAAGCGGGAAAATGGGGCGAGGTAATGAAAAGCGGGAGAATGGTGCGGGGTGATGGAAAGCGGGAGAATGGGCGTGTGATGGAAAGCGGAGAATGGGGCGGGGTGATGGAAAGCGGGAGAATGGGGCGAGGTGATGGAAAGCGGGAGAGTAAGGCGGGGTGATGGAAAGCGGGAGAATGGGGTGGGGTGATGGAAATTGGGAGAATAGGGTGGGGTGATGGATGGAGGGAGAATGGGGCGGGGTCATGGAAGGAGGGAGAATGGGGCGGGGTGATGGAAAGCAGGAGAATGGGGAGGGGTGATGGAAAGCGGGCGAATGGTGCGGGGTGATGGAGAGCAGGAGAATAAGGCGGGGTGATGGAAAGCGGGAGAATGGGGTGGGGTGATGGAAGGAGGGAGAATCGGGCAGGGTGATGGAAAGCGGGAGAATGGGGCAGGTTGATGGAAAGCGGGAGAATGGGGCAGGGTGATGGAAAGCGGGAGAAAGGGGCGAGGTGATGGAAAGTGGTAGAATGGGGCGGGGTGATGGAAAGCGGGAGAATGGGGCGGGGTGATGGAAAGAGGGAGAATGGGGACGGGTGATAGAAAGCGGGAGAATGGGGCGGGTTGATGGGAATCGGGAGAATGGGGCGAGGTAATGAAAAGCGGGAGAATGGTGCGGGGTGATGGAAAGCGGGAGAATGGGGCGGCTGATGGAAAGCTGGAGAATGGGGCGGGGTGATGGAAAGCGGGAATATGGGGTGGGGTGATGGAAAGCGGGAGAATGGGGTGGGGTGATGGAAAGCGGGAGAATGGGGCGGGGTGATGGGAAGCAGGAGGATGGGGCGGGTTATGGAAAGCTAGAGAATGGGGCGGGGTGATGGAAAGCGGTGGAATGGGGCGGGCTGATAGAAAGCGGGAAAATGGGGCGAGGTGATGGAAGGAGCGAGAATGGGGCGGGATGATGGAAGGAGGGAGAATGGGGCAGGGCGATGGAAGGAGGGAGAATGGGGCGGGCTGATGGAAAGTGGGAGAATGTGGCTGGGTGATGGAAAGTGGGAGAATGGGGCGGGGTGATGGAAAGCGGGAGAATGAGGCGGGGTGATGGAAGGAGGGAGAATGGGGCGGGGTGATGGAAAGCGGGAGAATGGGGCGGGGTGATGGAAAGCGGGAGAATGGGCCGGGGTGATGGGAAGCGGGAGAATGGGGCAGGGTGATGGAAAGCGGGAGAATGGGGCGGGGTGATGAAAAGCGGGAGAATGGGGTGGAGTGATGGAAAGCGGGAGAATGGGGCGGGGTGATGGAAAGCGGGAGAATGGGGAGGGGTGATGGAAATCGGGAGAAGGGGGCGGGGTGATGGAAACAGGGAGAATGGGGCGGGGTGATGGAAAGAGGGAGAATGGGGCGGGGTGATGGAAAGCGGGAGAATGGGGCGGGGTGATGGTAAGCGGGAGAACGGGGCGGGGTGATGGAAAGAGGGAGAATGGGGCGCGGTGATGGAAAGCGGGAGAATGTGGCGGGTTGATGGAAAGGGGGAGAATGGGTCGGGGTGATGGAAAGCGGGAGAACGGAGCAGGGTGATGGAAAGCGGGAGAACGGGGCGGGGTGATGGAAAGAGGGAGAATGGGGCGGGGTGATGGAAAGCGGGAGAATGGGGCGGGTTGATGGAAAGCGGGAGAATGGGGCGGGGTGATGGAAAGCGGGAGAATAGGGCGGGGTGATGGAAGGAGGGAGAATAGGGAGGGGTGATGGAAAGAGGGAGAATAGGGCGGGGTGATGGAAAGCGGGAGAATGGAGCGGGGTGATGGAAAGAGGGAGAATGGGACGGGGTGATGGAAAGCGGGAGAATGGGGCGGGGTGATGAAAAGCGGGAGAATGGGGCGGGGTGATGGAAAGCGAGAGAATGGGGCGGGGTGATGGAATGAGGGAGAATGGGGCGGGGTGATGGAAAGCAGGAGAATGGGGCGGGGTGATGGAAAGCGGGAAAATGGGGCGGGGTGATGGAAAGCGGGAGAACTGGGCGGGGTGATGGAAAGCGAGAGAATGGGGCGGGGTGTTTGAAAGAGGGAGAATGGGGCGGGGTGATGGAAAGCGGGAGAATGGGGCGGGGTGATGGAAAGAGGGAGAATGGTGCGGGGTGATGGAAAGAGGGGAGGATGGGGTGGGGTGATGGAACGCAAAAGAATGGGGCGGGGTGATGGAAAGCGGTAGAATGGGACGGGGTGATGGAAAGCGGGATAATTGGGTGGGGTGATGGATAGAGGGAGAATGGGGAAGGGTGATGGAAAGAGGGAGAATGGGGCGGGGTGATGGAAAGCTGGAGAATGGGGCGGGGTGATGGAAAGCAAGAGAATGGGGCGGGGTGATGGAAAGCGGGAGAATGGGGCGGGGTGATGGAAAGAGGCGAAAGAATGGGGCGGGGTGAAGGAAAGCGGGAGAATGGGGCGGGTGATCGAAAGAGGGAGAATGGGGCGGGGTGATGGAAAGCGGGAGAATGGGTCGGGTTGATGGAAAGCGGGAGATTGGGGCGGGGTGATGGAAAGTTGGAGAATGGGGCGGGGTGATGGAAAGCGGGAGAATGGGGCGGGGTGATGGAAAGCGGGAGAATGGGGCGGAGTGATGGAAAGCGGGAGAATGGGGCGGGGCGATGGAAAGAGGCGAGAGAATGGGGCGGGGTGATGGAAATCGGGAGAATGGGGCGGGGTGATGGAAAGAGGGAGAATGGGGCGGGGTGATAGAAAGAGGTAGAGTGGGGCAGAGTGATGGAAAGCGAGAGAATGGGGCAGGGTGATGGAAACCGGGAGAATGGGGCGGGGTGATGGAAACCGGGAGAATGGGGCGGGGTGATGGAAAGCGGGAGAATGGGGCGGGGTGATGGAAATCGGGAGAATGGGGCGGGGTGATGGAAAGCGGGAGAATGGGGCGGGGTGATGGAAAGAGGGAGAATGGGGCGGGGTGATGGAAAGAGGGAGAATGGGGCGGGGTGATGGAAAGCAGGAGAATGGGGCGCGGTGATGGAATGCTGGAGAATGGGGCGGGGTGATGGAAAGTGGGAGAATGGGGCGGGGTGATGGGAAGCGGGAGAATGGGGGCGGGGTGATGGAAAGCGGGAGAAGTGGGGCGCGGTGATGGAAAGCGGGAGAATGGGGCGGGGTGATGGAAAGAGGCGGGAGAATGGGACGGGGTGATGGAAAGCAGGAGAATGGGGTGGGGAGATGGAAAGCGGGAGAATGGGGCGGGGTGATGGAAAGAGGGAGAATGGGGCGGGGTGATGGAAAGCGGGAGAATGGGGCGGGGTGATGGGAAGCAGGAGAATGGGGCGGGGTGATGGAAAGAGGGAGAATGGGGAGGGGTGATGGAAAGCGGGAGAATGGGGCGGGGTGATGGAAAGCGGGAGAATGGGGCGGGGTGATGCAAAGCGGGAGAATGGGGCGGGGTGATGGAAAGCGGGAGAATGGGGCGGGGTGATGGAAAGCGGGAGAAGGGGGCGGGGATGATGGAAAGCGGGAGAATGGGGCGGGGTGATGGAAAGCGGGAGAATAGGGCGGGGTGATGGAAAGAGGGAGAATAGGGAGGGGTGATGGAAAGAGGGAGAATAGGGCAGGGTGATGGAAAGCGGGAGAATGGAGCGGGGTGATGGAAAGAGGGAGAATGGGACGGGGTGATGGAAAGCGGGAGAATGGGGCGGGGTGATGAAAAGCAGGAGAATGGGGCGGGGTGATGGAAAGCGGGAGAATGGGACGGGGTGATGGAAAGCGGGAGAATAGGGCGGGGTGATGGAAAGAGGGAGAATGGGGAGGGTTGATGGAAAGAGGGAGAATTGGGCGGGGTGATGGAAAGGGGGAGAATGGAGGGGGATGATGGAAAGCGGGAGAATGGGGCGGGGTGATAGAAAGCGGGAGAATGGGGAAGGGTGATGGAAAGAGGGAGAATGGGGCGGGGTGATAGAAAGAGGGAGAATGGGGAGGGGTGATGGAAAACGGGAGAATGGGGCGGGGTGATTGAGAGCGGGAGAATGGGGCGGGGTGATGGAAAGGGACACCGCGACAGCCGACGAAGCGGCGTGAATGTGGTGCAGTCGCGAAAGAAGGAGCGAGAGGCCCCAGAGTCAAGAGTGAAGGTGAGGGAGGCCGAAGCCGGCGCAGTACCTGAAAGCGCAGACTCACCAGTACCTGAGAGCGCAGACTCACCAGTACGTGAGGAAGCAGACGTGGGAGAATGGGGTGGGGTGATGGAAAGCGGGAGAATGGGGCGGGGTGATGGAAAGCGGGAGAATGGAGCGGGGTGATGGAAAGAGGGAGAACAGGGCGGGGTGATGGAAAGCGGGAGAATGGGGCGGGGTGATGGAAAGCGGGAGAATGGGGCGGGGTGATAGAAAGCGGGAGAATGGGGCGGGGTGATGGAAAGCGGGAGAATAGGGCGGGGTGATGAAAAGCAAGTGAATGGGGCAAGGTGATGGAAAGCGGGTGAATGGGACAGGGTGATGGAAAGCGGGAGAATGGGGCGGGGTGATGGATAGAGGGAGAATGGGGCGGGGGTGATGGAAAGCGGGAGAATGGAGCGGGGTGATGGAAAGTTGGAGAATGGGGCGGAGTGATGGAAAGCGGGAGAATGGGGCGCGGTTATGGAAAGAGGAAGAATGGGGCTGGGTGATGGAAAGCGGGAGAGTGGGGCGGGGTGATGGAAAGCGGGAGAATGTGGCGCGGTGATGGAAAGAGGGAAAATGGGGCGGGGTGATCGAAAGCGGGAGAATGGGGCGGGGTGATGGAAAGAGGGAGAATAGGGCGGGGTGATGGAAAGCGGGAGAATGGGGCGGGGTGATGGAAAGCGGGAGAATGGGGCGGGGTGATGGAAAGCGGGAGAATGGGGCGAGGTGATGGAAAGCGGGAGAATGGGGCAGGGTGATTGAAAGCGGGAGAACAGGGCCGGGTGATGGAAAGAGGGAGAATGGGGCGGGGTGATGGAAAGAGGGAGAATGGGGAGGGGTGATGGAAAACGGGAGAATGTGGAGGGGTGATTGAGAGCAGGAGACTGGGGCGGGGTGATGGAAAGCGGGAGAACGGGGTGGGGTGATGGAAAGAGGGAGAAAGGGGCGGGTTGATGGAAAGCGAGAGAATGGGGCGGGGTGATGGAAAGCGGGAGAATGGGGCGGGGTGATGGAAAGAAGGAGAATGGGGCGGGGTGATGGAAAGCGGGAGAATGGGGCGGGGTGATGGAAAGCGGGAGAATGGGGCGGGGTGATGGAAAGAGGGAGAATGGGGAGGGGTGATAGAAAGAGGGAGAATTGGGCGGGGTGACTGGAAAGCGGGAGAATAGAGCGGGGTGATGGAAAGCGTGAGAATGGGGCGGGGTGATGGAAAGTGGGAGAATGGGGCGGGGTGATGGAAAGAGGGAGAATGGGGCGGGGTGATGGAAGGCGGGAGAACGGGGCGGGCTGATGGAAAGAGGGAGAATGGGGCGGGGTGATGGAAAGCGGGAGAATGGGGCGGGGTGATGGAAAGCGGGAGAATGGAGCGGGGTGATGGAAAGAGGGAGAATGGGGCAGGGTGATGGAAGGCGGGAGAATGGGGCGCGGTGATGGAAAGAGGGAGAATGGGGCGGGGTGATGGAAAGAGGGAGAATGGGGCGAGGTGATGGAAAGCGGGAGATTGGGGCGGGGTGATGGAAAGAGGGAGAATGGGGCGGGGTGATGGAAAGCAGGAGAATGGGGCGGGGTGTTGGAAAGAGGGAGAATGGGGCGGGGTGATGAGAAGAGGGAGAATGGGGCGGGGTGATGGAATGCGGGAGAACGAAGCGGGGTGATGGAAAGCGGTAGAACGGGGCGAGGTGATAGAAAGCGGGAGAACGGGGCGGGGTAATGGAAAGTGGGAGAACGGGGCGGGGTGATGGAAAGCGGGAGAATGGGGCGGGGTGATGGAAAGCGGGAGAATGGGGCGAAGTAAGGGAAAGCGGGAGACTGGGGCGGGTGATGGAAAGCGGGAGAATGGGGCGGGGTGATGGAAAGCAGGAGAATGGGGCGGGGTGATAGAAAGCGGGAGAATGGGGCGGGGTGATGGAAAGCGGGAGAATGGGGCGGGGTGATGGAAAGCAAGAGAATGGGGCAACGTGATGAAAAGCAGGAGAATGGGACAGGGTGATGGAAAGCGGGAGAATGGGGCGGGGTGATGGATAGAGGGAGAATGGGGCGGGGTGAATGAAAGAGGGAGAATGGGGCGGGGGTGATGGAAAGCGGGAGAATGGAGCGGGGTGATGGAAAGCTGGAGAATGGGGCGGAGTGATGGAAAGCGGGAGAATGGGGCGGGGTTATGGAAAGAGGAAGAATGGGGCTGGGTGATGGAAAGCGGGAGAGTGGGGCGGGGTGATGGAAAGCGGGAGAATGTGGCGCAGTGATGGAAAGAGGGAAAACGGGGCGGGGTGATGGAAAGCGGGAGAATGGGGCGGGGTGATGGAAAGAGGGAGAATAGGGCGGGGTGATGGAAAGCGGGAGAAGCGGGAGAATGGGGCGGGGTAATAAAAAGTGGGAGAACGGGGCGGCTGATGGAAAGCGGGAGAATGGGGCGGGGTGATGGAAAGCAAGAGAATGGGGCGGGTGATCGAAAGCGGGAGAATGGGGCGGGGTGATGGAAAGAGGAGAATGGGGCGGGGTGATGGAAAGCGGGAGAATGGGGCGGGGTGATTGAAATCGGGAGAACAGGGACGGGTGATGGAAAGAGGGAGAATGGAGCGGGGTGATGGAAAGAGGGAGAATGGGGAGGGGTGATGGAAAACGGGAGAATGGGGCGGGGTGATTGAGAGCGGGAGACTGGGGCGGGGTGATGGAAAGGGGGAGAATGGGGCGGGGTGATGGAAAGCGAGAGAACGAAGCGGGCTGATGGAAAGCGGTAGAACGGGGCGAGGTGATGGAAAGCGGGAGAACGGGGCGGGGTGATGAAAAGTGGGAGAAAGGGGCGGGGTGATGGAAAGCGGGAGAATGGGGCGAAGTAAGGGAAAGCGGGAGACTGGGGCCGGGTGATAGAAATCGGGAGAATGAGGCGGGGTGATGGAAAGCGGAAGAATGGGGCAGGGTGATGGAAAGCGGGAGAATGGGGTGGGGTGATGGAAAGCGGGAGAATGGGGCGGGGTGATGGAAAGCGGGAGAATGGGGCGGGGTGATGGAAAGAGGGAGAATGGGGAGGGGTGATGGAAACAGGGAGAATGGGGCGAGGTGGTGGAAAGAGGGAGAATGGGGCGGGGTGATGGAAAGCGGGAGAATGGGGCAGGGTAATGGAAAGAGGGAGAATGGGGCGGGGTGATGGAAAGCAGGAGAATGGGGCCGGGTGATGGAAAGAGGGAGAATGGAGAGGGGTGATGAAAAGAGGGGGAATTGGGCGGGGTGATGGAAAGCGGGAGAATGGAGCGGGTGATGGAAAGAGGGAGAATGGGGAGGGGTGATGGAAAACGGGTGAATGGGGCGGGGTGATTGAGAGCGGGAGACTGGTGCTGGGTGATGGAAAGCGGGAGAACGGGGCGGGGTGATGGAAAGCGGGAGAACGGGGCGAGGTGATGGAAAGCGGGAGAACGGGGCGGGGTGATGGAAGGCGGGAGAACGGGGCGCGATGATGGAAAGCGGGAAAATGGGGCGGGGTGAAAGAAAGCGGGAGAACGGGGCGGGGTGATGGATAGCGGGAGAATGGGGCGGGGTGATGGAAAGCGTGAGAATGGGGCGGGGTGATGGAAACAGGGAGAATGGGGCGGGGTGATGGAAACAGGGAGCATGGGGCGGGGTGATAGAAAGAGGGAGAATGGGGCGGGGTGATGGAAAGAGGGAGAATGGGGCGGGTGAAGGAAAGCGGGAGAATGGGGCGGGGTGATGGAAAGAGGGAGAATGTTGAGGGGTGATAAAAAGAGGGAGAATTGGGCAGGGTGATGGAAAGCGGGAGAATGGAGCGGGGTGATGGAAAGCGGGAGAATGGGGCGGGGTGATGGAAAGCGGGAGAATGGGACGGGGTGATGGAAAGAGTGAAAATGGGGCGGGGTGATGGAAATAGGGAGAATGGGGCGGGGTGATGGAAAGAGGGAGAATGGGGCGGGGTGATGGAAAGCGGGAGAATGGGACGGGGTGATGGAAAGAGTGAAAATGGGGAGGGGTGATGGATTGGGGGAGAATGAGGCGGGGTGATGGAAAGAGGGAGAATGGGTCAGGGTGATGGAAAGAGGGAAAATTGGGCGGGGTGATGGAAAGCAGGAGAATGGGACGGGGTGATGGAAAGCAGTAGAATGGGGCGGGGTGATGGAAAGCAGTAGAATGGTGCGGGGTGATGGAAAGCGGGAGAATGGTGCCGGGTGATGGAAAGAGGGAGAATGGGGAGGGGTGATGGAAAGAGGGAGAATGGGGCGGGGTGATGGAAAGAGGGAGAATGGAGAGGGGTGATGGAAAGAGGGAGAATTGGGCGGGGTGATGGAAAGCGGGAGAATAAAGCAGGGTGATGGAAAGCGGGAGAATGGGGCGGTGTGATAGAAAGCGGGAGAATGGGGCGGGGTGATGGAAAGCGAGAGAATGGGGCAGGGTGATGGAAAGAGGGAGAATGGGGCGCGGTGATGGAAAGAGGGAGAATGAGGCGGGGTGATGGAAAGCGGGAGAATGGGGCTGGATGATGGAAAGAGGGAGAATGGGAAGGGGTGATGGAAAGAGGGAGAATTGGGCGGGGTGTTGGAAAGCGGGAGAATGGAGCGGGGTGATGGAAAGCGGGAGAATGGGGCGGGGTGATGGATAGCGGGAGAATGGGACCGGGTGATGGGAAAGAGTGAAAATGGGGCGGGGTGATGGATTGGGGGAGAATGGGGCGGGGTGATGGAAAGAGGGAGAATGGGGCGGGGTGATGGAAAGAGGGAAAATTGGGCGTGGTGATGGAAAGCGGGAGAATGGAGTGGGGTGATGGAAAGCGGGAGAATGGGACGGGGTGATGGAAAGCACTAGAATGGGGCGGGGTGATGGAAAGCGGGAGAATGGTGCGGGGTGATGGAAAGAGGGAGGATCGGGCGAGGTGATGGAAAGAGGGAGAATGGGGCGGGGTGATGGAAAGCGGGAGAATGGGGCGGGGTGATGGAAAGAGGGAGAATGGGGAGGGGTGATGGAAAGAGGGAGAATTGGGCAGGGTGATGGGAAGCGGGAGAATGGAGCAGGGTGATGGACAGCAGTAGAATGGGGCGGGGTGATGGAAAGAGGGAGGATCGGGCGAGGTGATGGAAAGCGGGAGAATGGGGCGGGGTGATGGAAAGAGGGAAAATGGCGCAGGGTGATGGAAAGCGGGAGAATGGGGCGGGTTGATGGAAAGAGGGAGAATGGGGCGGGGTGATGGAAAGAAGGAGAATGGGGCGGGGTGATGGAAAGCTGGAGAATGGGGCGGGGTGATGGAAAGAGGGAGAATGGGGCGGGGTGATGGAAAGAGGGAGAATGGGGCGGGGTGATGGAAAAAGGGAGAATGGGGAGGGGTGATGGAAAGAGTGAGAATTGGGCGGGGTGATGGAAAGCGGGACAATGGAGCGGGATGATGGAAAGCGAGAGAATGGGGTGGGGTGATGGAAAGCGGGAGAATAGGGGCGGGGTGATGGAAAGAGGGAAAATGGCGCGGGGTGATGGAAAGCGGGAGAATGGGGCGGGTTGATGGAAAGAGGGAGAATGGGGCGGGGTGATGGAAAGAAGGAGAATGGGGCGGGGTGATGGAAAGCGGGAGAATGGGGCGGGGTGATGGAAAGAGGGAGAATGGGGCGGGGTGATGGAAAGAGGGAGAATTGGGCGGGTTGATGGAAGGCGGGAGAGTGGGGCGGGGTGATGGAAAGAGGGAGAATGGGGCGGCGTGATGGAAAGCGGGAGAATGGGGCGGGGTGATGGAAAAAAGGAGGATGGGGAGGGGTGATGGAAAGAGGGAGAATTGGGCGGGGTGATGGAAAGCGGGACAATGGAGCGGGATGATGGAAAGCGAGAGAATGGGGCGGGGTGATGGAAAGCGGGAGAATGGGGCGGGGTGATGGAAAGAGGGAAAATGGCGCGGGGTGCTGGAAAGCGGGAGAATGGGGCGGGGTGATGGAAAGAGGGAGAATGGGGCGGGGTGATGGAAAGAGGGAGAATGGGGCGGGGTGATGGAAAGCGGGAGAATGGGGCGGGGTGATGGAAAGAGGGAGAATGGGGCGGGGTGATGGAAAGAGGGAGAATTGGGCGGGGTGATGGAAGGCGGGAGAGTGGGGCGGGGTGATGGAAAGAGGGAGAATGGGGCGGGGTGATGGAAAGAGGGAGAATGGGGCGGGGTGATGGAAATTGGGAGAATGGGGCGGGGTGATGGAAATCGGGAGAATGGGGCGGGGTGATGGAAAGAGGAAGAATGGGGCGGGGTGATGGAAAGAGGGAGAATGGGGCGGGGTGGTGGAAAGCGGGAGAATGGGGCGGGATGATGGAAAGCGGGAGAATGGGGCGGGGTGATGGAAATCGGGAGCATGGGGCGGGGTGATGGAAAAAGGGAGAATGGGGCGGGGTGATGGAAAGCGGGAGAATGGGGCGGGGTGATGGAAAGCGGGAGAATGGGGCGGGGCGATGGAAAGCGGGAGAATGGGGCGGGGTGATGGAAAGCGAGAGAATGGGGCGGGGTGATGGAAAGTGGGAGAATAGGGAGGGTTGATGGAAAGAGGGAGAATTGGGCGGGGTGATGGAAAGCGGGAGAATGGAGCGGGGTGATGGAAAGCGAGAGAATGGGGCGGGGTGATGGAAAAAGGGAGAATGGGGAGGGGTGATGGAAAGAGTGAGAATTGGGCGGGGTGATGGAAAGCAGGACAATGGAGCGGGATGATGGAAAGCGAGAGAATGGGGCGGGGTGATGCAAAGTGGGAGAATGGGGCGGGGTGATGGAAAGAGGGAAAATGGCGCGGGGTGATGGAAAGCGGGAGAATGGGGCGGGGTGATGGAAAGAGGGAGAATGGGGCGGGGTGATGGAAAGAAGGAGAATGGGGCGGGGTGATGGAAAGCGGGAGAATGGGGCGGGGTGATGGAAAGCGGGAGAATGGGACGGGGTGATGGAAAGAGGGAGAATGGGGCGGGGTGATGGAAAGCGGGAGAATGGGGCGGGGTGATGGAAAGCGAGAGAATGGGGCGGGGTGATGGAAAGCGGGAGAATGGGGCGGGGTGATGGAAAGAGGGAGAATGGGGAGAGGTGATGGAAAGAGGGAGAATTGGGTGGGTCGATGGAAAGCGGGAGAATGGAGCGGGGTGATGGAAAGCGGGAGAATGGGGCGGGGTGATGGAAAGCGGGAGAATGGGGCGGGGTGATGGAAAAAGGGAGAATGGGGCGGGGTGATGGAAAGCGGGAGAATGGGGCGGGGTGATGGAAGGAGGGAGAATGGGGCGGGGTGATCGGAAGGAGGGAGAATGGGGCGGAGTGATGGAAAGCGGGAGAATGGGGCGGGGTGATGGAAGGAGGGAGAATGGGGCGGGATGATGGAATGCGGGAGAATGGGGCGGGGTGATAGAAAGCGGGAGAATGGGGCGGGGTGATGGAAAGCGGGAGAATGGGGCGGGGTGACGGAAATCGGGAGAATGGGGCGGGGTGATGGAAAGCGGGAGAATGGGGCGGGGTGATGGAAGGAGGGAGAATGGGGCGGGGTGATAGAAAACGGGAAAATGTGGTGGGGTGATGGAAAGCGGGAGAATGGGGTGGGGTTATGGGAAGCGGGAGAGTGGGGCGGGGTGATGGAAAGCGGGAGAATGGGGCGGGGTGATGGAAGGAGGGAGAATGGGGCGGGGTGATGGAAAGCGGGAGAATGTGGCGGGGTGATGGAAAGCGGGAGAATGGGGCGGGGTGATGGAAAGCGGGAGAATGGGGCTGGGTGATGGAAAGCGGGAGAATGGGGCGGGGTGATGGAAAGCGGGAGAATGGAGCCGGGTGATGGAAAGCGAGAGAATGGGGCGAGGTGATGGAAGGAGGAAGAATGGGGAGGGGTGATGGAAAGCGGGGGAATGGGGCGGGATGATGGGAAGCGGAAGAATGGGGCGGGGTGATGGAAAGCGGGAGAATGGGGCGGGGTGATGGAAAGCGGGAGAATGGGGCGGGGAGATGGAAAGCGGGAGAAAGGGGAGGGGTGATGGAAAGCGGGAGAATGGGGCGGGCTGATGGAAAGCGGGAGAATGGGGCGGGGTGATGGAAGGAGGGAGAATGGGGCGGGGTGATGGAAGGAGAGAGAAGGGGGCGGGGTGATGGAAAGTGGGAGAATGTGGCGGGGTGATGGAAAGCGGGAGAATGGGGTGGGGATATGGGAAGCGGGAGAATGGGGCGGGGTGATGGAAAGCGGGAGAATGGGGCGGGGTGATGGAAGGAGGGAGAATGGGGCGGGGTGATGGAAGGAGGGAGAATGGGGCGGAGTGATGGAAAGCGGGAGAATGGGGCGGGGTGATGGAAGGAGGGAGAATGGGGCGAGGTGATGAAAGGAGGGAGAATGGGGCGGGGTGATGGAAAGCGGGAGAATGGGGCGGGGTGATGGAAGGAGGGAGAATGGGGCGGGGTGATGGAAAGCGGGAGAATGGGGCGGGTTGATGGAAAGCGGAAGAATGGGGCGGGTGATGGAAAGCGGGAGAATAGGGCGGGGTGATGGAAAGAGGGAGAATGGGGCGGGGTGATGGAAAAGGGGAGAATGGGGAGGGGTGAAAGAAAGAGGGAGAATTGGGTGGGGTGATGGAAAGCGGAAGAATGGGGCGGGGTGATGGAAAGCGGGAGAATGGGGCGGGGTGATGGAAAGCGGGAGAATGGGGCGCGGAGATGGAAAGCGGGAGAATGGGGCGGGGTGATGGAAAGAGGAAGAAAGGGGCGGGGTGATGGAAAGCGGGAGAATGGGGCGGGATGATGGAAAGCGTGAGAATGGGGCGGGGTGATGGAAAGAGGGAGAATGGGGCGGGGTGATGGAAAGCGGGAGAATGGGGCGGGGTAATGGAAAGCGGGAGAATGGGGCGGGGTGATGGAAGGAGGGAGAATGGGGCGGGATGATGGAAAGCGGGAGAATGTGGCAGGGTGATGGAAAGCGGGAGAATGGGGTGGGGTGATGGAAAGCGGGAGAATGGGGCGGGGTGATGGAAATCGGGAGAATGGGGCGGGGTGATGGAAAGCGGGAGAATGGGGCGGGTTGATGGAAGGAGGGAGAATGGGGCGGGGTGATAGAAAGCGGGAGAATGTGGCGGGGTGATGGAAAGCGGGAGAATGGGGTGGGGTTATGGGAAGCGGGAGAATGAGGCGGGGTGATGGATAGCGAGAGAATGGGACAGGGTTATGGGAAAGAGGGAGAATGGGGAGTTGATGCTTTTATAGGGGAGTTGACGCTTTTATAGAAGAGTTGATGCTCTTATAGGGGAGTTGACGCTCTTATAGAGAAGTTGACGCTTTTATAGGGGAGTTGACGCTCTTATAGGGGAGTTGATGCTCTTATATGAGAGTTGACGCTTTAAAATGAGAGTTAACACTTTTATGGGGGAGTTGACACTTATATATGAGAGTTGACGCTTTTATATGGGAGTTGACGCTCTTATAGGAGAGTTGACGCTGTTGTAGGGGAGTTGACGCTCGTATAGCAGAGTTGACGCTCTTATAGGAGAGTCGACTCTCTTCTAGGGGAGTTGACGCTTTTATATGAGAGTTGACGCTTTTATGGGGGAGTTGACGCTCTTATAGGGGAGTTGACGCTCTTATAGGAGAGTTGACGCTTTTATAGGGGAGTTGACGCTCTTATAGGAAAGTTGACGCTCTTACATGGGAGTTGACGCTCTTATAGGGGAGTTGACACTCTTATAGGGGAGTTGACGCTCTTTTAGGAGAGTTGATGCTATAATATGAGAGTTGACGCTTTTGTGGGGGAGTTGACGCTCATATAGGAGAGTTGACGCACTTATCGGAGAGCAGACGCTTTTATAGGGAGTTGACGCTTTTACAGGGAAGTTGACGCTCTTATAGGGGAGTTGACGCTCTTATAGGAAAGTTGATGCTCTTACAGGAAAGTTGACGCTCTTATAGGAAAGTTGACGCTCTTATAGGAAAGTTGACGCTCTTATGGAGTTGATGCTCTTTTAGGGAGAGTTGATGCTCTTATATGCGAGTTGACGCTTTTAAATGAGAGTTGACACTTTTATGGGGGAGTTGATGCTTTTATATCAGAGTTGACGCTTTTGTTGGGGAGTTGACGCTCTTATAGGGGAGTTGACGCTCTTTTGGGAGAGTTGACGCTCTTATATGAGAGTTGATGCTTTTATAGAGGAGTTGACGCTTTTATAAGGGAGTTGACGCTCTTATAGGGGAGTTGACGGTCTTGTTGGGGAGTTGACACTCTTATAGGGGAGTTGACGCTCTTATAGGGGAGTTGACGCTCTTATAGGGGAGTTGACGCTCTTATAGGGGAGTTGACACTCTTATAGGGAAGTTGGCGCTCTTATAGGGGGAGTTGACGCTTTTATGTGAGAGTTGACGCTTTTATGGGGGAGTTGACGCTCTTATAGGAGAGTTGACGCTCTTATTGGAGAGCTGACACTTTTATAGGGGAGTTGACGCTTTTATAGGGGAGTTGACTCTCTTATAGGGGAGTTGACGCTCTTATAGGGAAGTTTACGCTCTAATAGGGGAGTTGACGCTCTTATAGAAGAGCTGACGCTCTTATATGATAGTTGACACTTTTGAATGGGAGTTGACACTTTTATATGAGAGTTAAAGATGTAAAGGGAGAGTTGACGCTCTTATAGGAGAGTTGACGCTCTTATAAAAGAGCTGACGCTCTTGTAGGGGAGTTGACACTCTTATAGAGGAGTTGACGCTCTTATAGGGGAGTTGACGCTCTTATAGGGGAGTTGACACCCTTATAGGGGAGTTGACGCTCTTATAGGGGAGTTGACGCTCTTATATGAGAGTTGACGCTTTTATTGGGGAGTTGACGCTTTTATAGGGGAGTTGACACTCGTTTTGGGGAGTTGACGCTCTTATAGGGGAGTTGACGCTCTTATAGGGGAGTTGACGCTCTTATAAGGAAGTTGATGCTCTTGAAGGGGATTTGACGCCCTTATAGGGGAGTTGACGCTCGTATATGAGAGTTGACACTTTTAAAGAGTAGTTGATGTGTTTATAGGGGAGTTGACGCTCATATAGGGGAGTTGACGCTTTTATATGAGAGTTGCCCCTTAAATGGGGGAGTTGACGCTCTTATAGGAGAGCTGGCGCTTTTATAGGGGAGTTGAAGCTCTTATAGGGAAGTTGACGCTCTTATATGGAAGTTAACGCTCTTATAGGGCAGTTGACGCTCTTATATGAGAGTTGACGCTTTTAAAGGGGAGTTGACATGTTTATGGGAGAGTTGACGCTTTTATATGAGAGTTGACGCTATTATAGGGGAGTTGACGCTCTTATAGGAGAGTTGACGCTCTTTAATGAGAGCTGACGCCTTTATAGGGGAGTTGACGCTTTTATAGGGGAGTTGACGCTCTTATAGGGGAGTTGATGCTCTTATAGGGAAGTTGACGCTCTTATAGGGGAGTTGACGCTCTTATATGAGAGTTGACGCTTTCCATTACCCCGCCCCATTCTCCCGCTTTCCATCACCCCGCCCCATTCTCCCGCTTTCCATCACCCCGCCCCATTCTCCCACTTTCCATCACCCCGCCCCATTCTCCCGCTTTCCATCACCCCGCCCCATTCTTCCTCTTTCCATCACCCCGCCCCTTTCTCCCGCTTTCCATCACCCCGCCCCATTCTCCCGCTTTCCATCACCCCGCCCCATTCTCCCGCTTTCCATCACCCCCCCCATTCTCCCGCTTTCCATCACCCCGCCCCATTCTTCGCTTTCCATCACCCCGCCCCATTCTCCCACTTTCAATCACCCCGCCCCTTTCTTCCTCTTTCCATCACCCTGCCCCATTCTCCCTCTTTCCATCACCCCTCCCCATTCTCCCGCTTTCCATCACCCCGCCCCATTCTCCCGCTTTCCATCACCCCGCCCCATTCTCCCGCTTTCCATCACCCCACCCCATTCTCCCGCTTTCCATCACCCCGCCCCAATCTCCGTTTTCCATCATCCCGCCCCTATTCTCCCGCGTTCCATCACCCCGCCCCATTCTCTCGCTTTCCATCACCTCGCCCCATGCTCCCGCTTTCCATCACCCCGCCCCATTCTCCCGCTTTCCACCACCCTGCCCCATTCTCCCGCTTTCCATCACCCTGCCCCATTCTCCCGCTTTCCATCACCCCGCCCCATTCTCCCGCTTTCCATCACCCCGCCCCATTCTCCCGCTTTCCATCACCCCGCCCCATTCTCCCGCTTTCCATCACCCCGCCCCATTCTCCTGCTTTCCATCACCCCACCCCATTCTCCCGCTTTCCATCACCCCGCCCCATTCTCCCGCTTTCCATCACCCCGCCCATTCTCCCGCTTTCCATCACACCGGCCTATTCTCCCTCTTTTCATCACCCCGCCCCATTCTCCTGCTTTCCATCACCCCGCCCCATTCTCCCGCTTTCCATCACCCCGCCCCATTCTCCCGCTTTCTATCACCCCACCCCATTCTCCCTCTTTTCATCACCCCGCCCCATTCCCCCTCTTTCCATCACCCCGCACCATTCTCCCTCTTTCCATCACCCCGCCCCATTCTCCCTATTTCCATCACCCCGCCCCATTCTCCCGCTTTCCATCACCCCGCCCCATTCTCCCTCTTTCCATCACCCCGCCCTATTCTCCCGCATTCCATCACCTTGCCAAATTATCCCTATTTCCATCACCCCGCCCCATTCTTCCGCTTTCCATCACCCCGCCCCATTCTCCCGCTTTCCATCACCCCGCCCCATTCTCCCGCTTTCCATCACCCCGCCCCATTCTTCCGCTTTCCATCACCCTGCCCCATTCTCCAGCTTTCCATCACCCCGCCCCATTCTCCCGCTTTCCATCACCCCGCCCCATTCTCCCTCTTTTCATCACCCCGCCCCATTCTCCCTCTTTCCATCACCCGCCCCATTCTCCCTCTTTCCATCACCCCCCCATTCTCCCTATTTCCATCACCCGCCCCATTCTCCCGCTTTCCATCAACCCGCCCCATTCTCCCTCTTTCCATCACCCCGCCCCATTCTCCGCTTTCCATCACCCCGCCCCATTCTCCCTCTTTCCATCACCCCGCCCCTTTCTCCCTCTTTCCATCACCCCGCCCCATTCTCCCTCTTTCCATCACCCCGCCCCATTCTTCCGCTTTCCATCACCCCGCCCCATTCTCCCTATTTCCATCACCCCGCCCCATTCTTCCGCTTTCCATCACCCCGCCCCATTCTCCAGCTTTCCATCACCCCGCCCCATTCTCCGCTTTCCATCACTTGCCCCATTCTCCCGCTTTCCATCACCCCACCCCATTCTCCCGCTTTCCATCACCCTGCCCCATTCTCCCGCTTCCATCAAACCGCCCCATTCTTCCGCTTTCCATCACCGTGCCCCATTCTCCCGCTTTCCATCACCCCGCCCCATTCTTCCGCTTTCCATCACCCCGCCCCATTCTCCCTCTTTCCATCACCCCGCCCCATTCTCCCTCTTTCCATCACCCCGCCCCATTCTCCTCTTTCCATCACCCCCCCCATTCTCCCTATTTCCATCACCCCGCCCCATTCTCCCGCTTTCCATCACCCCGCCCCATTCTCCCTCTTTCCATCACCCGCCCCATTCTCTCTCTTTCCATCACCCCGCCCCATTCTCCCTCTTTCCATCACCCCGCCCCATTCTCCCGCTTTCCATCACCCCGCCCCATTCTCCCTTTCCATCACCCGCCCCATTCTTCCGCTTTCCATCACCCCGCCCCATTCTCCCGCTTTCCATCACCCCGCCCCATTCTCCGCTTTCCATCACCCGCCCCATTCTCCCGCTTTCCATCACCCCGCCCCATTCTCCCGCTTTCCATCACCCCGCCCCATTCTTCCGCTTTCCATCACCCCGCCCCATTCTCCCTCTTTCCATCACCCCGCCCCATTCTCCAGCTTTCCATCACCCGCCCCATTCTCCCGCTTTCCATCACCCCGCCCCATTCTCCCGCTTTCCATCACCCCGCCCCATTCTCCTGCTTTCCATCACCCCGCCCCATTCTCCCTCTTTCCATCACCCCGCCCCATTCTCCCGCTTTCCATCACCCCGCCCCATTCTCCCGCTTTCCATCACCCCGCCCCATTTCCCGCTTTCCATCACCCCGCCCCATTCTCCCGCTTTCCATCACCCCGCCCCATTCTCCCGCTTTCCATCACCCCGCCCCATTCTCCCGCTTTCCATCACCCCGCCCCATTCTCCCGCTTTCCATCACACCGCCCCATTCTTCCGCTTTCCATTCCCCGCCCCATTCTCCCGCTTTCCATCACCTCGCCCCATTCTCCGCTTTCCATCACCCCGCCCCATTCTCCCGCTTTCCATCACCCCGCCCCATTCTTCCGCTTTCCATCACCCGCCCCATTCTCCAGCTTTCCATCACCCCGCCCATTCTCCCGCTTTCCATCACCCCGCCCCATTCTCCTCTTTCCATCACCCCGCCCATTCTCCCTCTTTCCATCACCCCGCCCCATTCTCCCTCTTTCCATCACCCCGCCCCATTCTCCCTATTTCCATCACCCACCCCATTCTCCGCTTTCCATCCCCGCCCCATTCTCCCTCTTTCCATCACCCCGCCCCATTCTCTCTCTTTCCATCACCCCGCCCCATTCTCCCTCTTTCCATCACCCCGCCCCATTCTCCCGCTTTCCATCACCCCGCCCCATTCTCCTATTTCCATCACCCCGCCCCATTCTTCCGCTTTCCATCACCCGCCCCATTCTCAGCTTTCCATCACCCCGCCCCATTCTCCCGCTTTCCATCACCCCGCCCCATTCTCCCGC